CTGTTCTTTCCACTTTCTTCCTTCAAAGTTCAGTTAGTTGTAAGTACCTTGGACATACTGTCGCGTGCAGAAGAATAAAAATAAGATAAGTATGTTTCTATAAGTACAGCTGTTCCAGAGGGATTCAAAAGCATTCATGCACAAGAGAAACCAATCAATGAGGCCAAATGAGGAAGCAGCTTTAGATCCATCTTCCTATGCAGAAAATTCATGCACGACTAAATTCCTGTAACTTTGATTGGTTTGCAAAAAGGTTTGGCCTGTTGGGAAATTTGAAATAGCTGTAGGCCTCTTGGGAAACAGCAACAAGCAAAAGGCTAGCATGTTACAACAGCACAACAAACCCAACGCTTTAAATGTAATGAGATTCAACAAATTCACCGCATTTTTAAGTACATTTCCATTGCAGTTGGAGATGGGAGGTGAATCTGATGTATTTTTGATTCAGAAACATCGCAATTCAACGTATAAAACATCATCAGATCTTAGGTCTCAAGCTTTTAGTGATCCCTTGTGTTGTTGTTATGAATGAGCAGGGCTTTCATCAGAGATAAGGTCCGAAGCCGTAACATCAATTACACTGAGGAGCCAGACAAGTATTGGCAAGTGTCTGGAGAGCTTTAATGAGCCATTTATTCAATAGATGCACGAGCGAAATCATTGACCAAACTGTGGTTTCATTCATGACTGCAATTAATTCATTAGACTTCCTAACTTAAAAGCTGATACACAATACAATTATTACTGGCAGGAAAGCAAAGAATGATGAGGGCAAAGGCCCTGCATACAAAATATTTATGCTGCAGGTACATTATACTGTGCATATACAAGCAGCTGCAGACAGGGCTGTAAATGATAGGCAGCAAAACAGATATACTACAGTACTATTGGTTTGGAAGGAAACCTTTCAGTTTCACCATTAAGACAAGTGATGAAAATGTATTTAGCTGATAATCAATTGGGAAGATGTTGTACTACTAATGTGAAGCAGATAGTTTGAAATCTGACATCACAGCAAAGTCACAATATAATCAGGCTCACTGCAACAGTTGGGGAAAAAGGTTTCATATATAAAAGTTGCCATTTCTTTCAGCCACATCACCTCAAACACTCAGGAGAGAGATGGGAAAAATCAGGCCAAACAGAGAGAAGGAAATCTCAAAGGAAATCTCACACATGAATTGACACAAGAAGAGAGTCCAGCTCTGTAAACCGGAATGAGTGCTTTGTCACAGGAGGGAAGTGAGCAGCGAGGGAGAGCATCCACAGACGGCATCGTGTCAATATTTAGCCTTCAAGTTCTATTTTTTTTATCTCAATATGTTTCCCAGATAGGATGACATGTGTTCGCTTAGAGAGGAGTGGCAATTTTGTGAGAGAGGGGTTGGTGTTGCGGTGCGTCTTTTTTTTTTAGGAATGGTGTTTTCCCTCAATGATCAAATGACGTAATTTGAAAAGTCACCGGACTCTCAGTTTCACCATCAACCTCATTTCATTCGATACAGCTGTCTGCTGTATTTAGCGATAAACCCGCTGAACTTGGCTATCATTCAACAGCAGACAGAAAAAGTGAGAGACTCAAGGTAGTGAAGCATTTAGCTGCAAAAGAGACAATAATTAAAGATAATAATAAAAGAGATAATTATCCCAGGAGTTGGTGGAGGGCAAAAACACAGCGAAAAGTAGAGTGAATATTGGACTTAATTACAGTTTTTCACCAGGTGGGTAGAAACATAACACTAGAAGCATAATTATATTGCTCCGTGTTTGTTGGATGTAATTGTCTCCTAAGAATTTTGCATTCATGAGGTGTTAGTATGTCATGTTCTGCTGCCCTAAAGTGGCAATATATATATAATAAATATTGCTTTTTAAGATGTATTTGTAGTCTTGTTGTTTGGGTTGTTTGTTATCTAACACGGTGGCGCCTCACTGCACACTTACAATCATCCGTGTAAAGAGAATAAAATATATTTTTCAATGCTTGAATGCTACAGAAAGCGAATGTAGATTCAGATTGTTGATTGAAGTGGTCGCATAAGCCCATTTATATGATAGGCTTAGAATGAACGCTGCGTTAGCATGTTTATGCACCTCACACACATACGCAAAGGCTTTATTATTGCAAGACGTGCTGATACACGCATGCTTGGGATACATAAGCTTACATAACAAACGTGCCAGCTTCCCCCCGTCTCAGGTTATAAAATGTCAATTCGCTTGGGGGATACAAACAAGCAATGTGATGCAGAGCTGGGTATTGAGTAGGAAATGCTGACTTTTAAGGCTAGCTAATCATTTATAAGGACTGCATTACACAGAAACCCATTCAGACCTCTCAAACATTAGAGGCAGAGAGAGAGAGCAAACAGCAGAGAGACTGAACACAGGTGCCACCAATGATCAATCAACACAGGTGTTAACGCTGAGTCTAATTAACTCAAGACCGCTCAGCAGAGAAAACGCAACCCTTAAAGAACATCTAGTGACAAAACAAATAGGAAAAGAAAACCGCCCCACTGTGACACATATGATCTGCTTCCCCTGGTGGTCTAAACTAAACCTCGGGTAAGTCAATCCTCTCACACTGGGCTCAGCAGAAATAAGAGAGTGAGATAAACCTGAAGATGTCAAGGCAGTCAGCAGAAGACACCATCCAACCCTTGATTGAACTGTTGTTCTCTGAAAAGGTTTCATTTGATATCCTGTCTAGTCAACACGATCACTGTTGGTTGGTTTAATGACCAGCAGGCTTTTACACACATTATATGTAAAAATAGAAAAGAAGATAAAAAATGATAACAGGTAATGTGAGATATGATACAACACACTGAAACATACACACACTGCAATACATTTTGATTAATGTCACCAAGGGCAGGTGTTTGGTTTCAGAACTGTGAGGACACAAGTGGGTTTCCATTCACTCGTTTTACTATTTTTAATTTGCACATAAAAAATAAAATAAAACACCATAAAAAAAGTACAACACACCTCAAAATATGCAAAGAAGTTTTTAAACTTTTAAACTAAAGGGGGAAAGTTGGTGTAACAATAAAAGCAAAATGTGATAAAGTGCAATGAAAACAGATTTGGCAAATTGATCAGAGAACTCTGAAAGTATTTAGAAAAGGATTAACACGTGTCATTTTATTCTTCAAGCTAATTTTTAGAAAACTTTTGAAATGTCACAAAAAGAGGAATGCAAATTAGCTTTGTGTCCATCAACTATTTGGAGCGAATAAACCCGGCCACAACATTCTTCAGAAGTTGGCGGTTAAGGGTTGCATGTCCGTAATCCGCCAGAAAACAGAGTAAAGAAGTAGAGGCTCAGCTAACTGACCCAACTACGAGAGGAAAATGGAGAGAGATCTTCAGGAATTTGTTTAAATTGGTCTAATTTGTTCTTCTATGTCAGCTAGTATTGGCCATGTTTCATGATGTCCGTAGAAAAACATTCACACATTATGGGACTATCCGAGAAGACACCGAAAGTAGAAACAGCTGATAAGTCATGTGAGTTAAGTGTTCGCAATGTCAGTATTTATCCGGCAAAGAAGTTTCCATATTCCTTTTAGCGCATCAAATGCAAAAAACACCTCAAGCGAGAGAAAATATATTATTTTTGCAATTGTGGAAGTTCATATTTTGGCGTTTCTATACACATTTTCATATGCGATACGATATACATGGGATTTGTTGACAGCAAGAAATATATAGAATAACACAAGCTTTATCCTTTAATCCTGTTTTGTTTTTTTATTTACTGTAAAATGCACTGCAGGAAACGCATGTTGATCCTACACATGCAGGAGAGCAGGAAACCACAGTTCACTACTGCGGAGGGATCATTCTGTATTATACTGAATATCCTCTGAGCCACAATGCATTCAATTTTAGACTTGAAGGTGTTTTAACATCTGGTAAAATATCTGTCCCCTTTGGAAGATATGATTGCTTTGATGTGAGTTTTTTTTTCTGTTGTGGAGAAAGAGTCTCAGTAGGAAATTCACAGGTATTGATTGGAAGGAGAAAAACGACTCCTTCCTCCTGCTGCCGTGACAGACAGCTGTACCCCTCCAGAGCCAAACAATCAGCTGCAATCAATGAGAATAAACCTGTAAACTTTACACCCTATTCCAGATGATTATCCTCATTGCTTCATGGTTTATTCTATTCCATATGTGTGGGATTTGGGCACAACGGCACAAAAAAAAAGTGCATCGTTTCACACATTTGGAATTTGATTGTAATACAATGGTGGAGAAGTATAATGAAACAAACACAGCCAACCAGCATAAAAGAGCACTTTTATTTGCTAAAGAGTCAAGTAGAAATGTTGCATGATCTTTTTAAGATACAATCAAGGTGCCTGAAAATAATCTGCATACATAAAGGGGACAGATTATCCAAAAACAAAGGAAAAACTCCAGTTTACAAATAAAAATTAGTGCTGGGCAACGATTAAAATATTTAATTGCGATTAATCGCATGGATTTTTTGCGATTAATTGCGATTAATCGCATTGTTATGGCAAAGTTCAATAATGAATTCAAAAGTAGTGTATTGCGCACTTTTATTTTAAAAGTACTGCTATATGAACAAAAGGGCAATAACATTTGGTTCACGAGATGCAGTTAGCATGTTTTATACTTAATGTGAATATAATTCATACTTTGTTGGCATCTTATTCTGAAAACCGGATGTTCGTCTGAAGAAACCGGATGTTGTCTCACGTTAATCTTTCCGCTAACTTTCAAAGTCCTTCGCTCGCTCCAGATCTGTGCCGTTTAAATGCGTTTACCGTGAATTTCAGCATATAGGTGCACTAAAATTACTGACTATAGGATGTTTGCTGGCTTTTATCCCACTGTTATTGTCATCCTCTTGTTGTTATGTATATGTATTGTCTCTTGTCTTTCAATTAAAAAAAATAAATAAATAAATAAAAAATCATAATAAATTTAAAAATGCGTTAACGCGCGATAAAATAATTGTCGGCGTTAATTAATGAATGTGTTAACGCGAAATTAACGCGTTAACTTGCCCAGCACTAATAAAAATAAAACTTCTTGAACAATATTAAAGCATTTACCAACTTTGTGAAAAGCAGTTAAGCATGTTTTATCTCTAAAACGAACATAGATCCAAAAGAACAATACACATTTGAGTACAATACAAATACGACATCGGTATAAATTTTATTGTCAGGCTCGGTAAGAGCTGTACTGATTGTACGATATGACTCGAGCATTTTTTCTCAGCTAGCAAGCACATGGACGGGTGTTTCATTCTAATCAGTAAAGAGTGTTGTGCGGATGATGTCAATAACACTTCTTCATCAGGCACTGAATTTGGAAACAGAATTGTTTCATCTCTCGACACATCCATATATTTTTGGCCCGTTGCCACTTTCGATGATGTGTCTCTATGACAACAGAGAAGCTTCAATAAACATTTTGAAAAAGGTGATGCCCTGCAGTTCCACTCTTAATTTAATAATCAAATTAGTATGTTTTGGCTTGAACTGAGGGTATTCTGACTTGGCTCCATATTTAGGTCCTTTAACTTCAGAAGTCACGATCCCAGCCAGAGAACTCCTCGTCCGCCTTGGTCTGATCAAGAGGGAAACGATCAAAGTTGATGTAGCAGGGGCCCTGAAGGAGGAAAAAGTCACAGTTCATTGAACTCTTGTGGCTATACATTTAATACACACAATCCTGTCCAACCGTGACTATTTAACAATCGCGTGTCCCTCCCTGCCTGTCTATGTAAATAGGTCAAAGTCAAAGGCCCTGAATAATCAACCTGACCTTAAAGGGATTTAAAATGCCAGTACGTCTTTAAAATGTCCTCCACAAAGTGAGCCTGTGTTCTTTGTTTCTGTCTTCCTTAAACCAAACAAAAGGTATAAGATAAAAAGAACTCAGCTACAGGTCAGACTTGCCTTGCGTATGAGCCGGACTGTGGGGGCGTCGAGCTGACCCACACGCAGCTTGTGCCAGTTTATGCTGCTGAACCACCTGAAGGGAAGAGAAGGAGGACGATTACACGCCAAACATAATGAGAGTGAGAAAGCCAGTCAGCAGTAAAGACAAGAAGATAAGATAAACAGTTTATGAGGTATCACATTTTACTATCAAACACCCAAACATATGACATGTTGCCATCGTTACCTGTGATGACGGACATCTTTGATTCCATTCTTGGTGTTTCCTAACCTCTGACCCGGCCGAGGTCTGCAATCAGAAACACAAGACATCATTTTATTCATTCCGCTTTTTAAGAGATTTGCATTCAAAACGGCCATAAAAAAATGCAAGTGCATATTATGATAGAGTGTATTCAAATACAGATATGCTGCATAATTCATGCACTGGGAGTAACTGTATCATCTGCTCTAACCTCTAAAATGTTCACATACATATTTCATGAGAAAGTTATTCAGGCGATACATTGAGTTCATTTTAAATATATCATGCTAGAGCGTTATCAGTATATAAAGCTTGAATCAACATATTCGTCTCACCTGCACATTTTGCTGATAATGGACTTGGCTGCCTCACTCATGTACGGTGGGTACTTGAGCACCCCGTCCAAAATTTTGGCATAAATCTTCTGAGGCTCTGAACTTGAAAAGGGAGGGCTGACAAGTTGAAAAGAGAGAATTGTGATGTTGTTTCAATCTCTCAATGGTCTGAGATATAAAAAAAAATAAAACCATCTAGTTGCTGCTGGGAAACCTGCACCTGCAACTGCAGATAACGCATTGTGCAGAAGTCAGTCACATTTCTCTACTGCCATCTACTGGTTAACATTTGTGTGACTCTCTCGTGACATACAATCATTCTTTTGCTTGAAAATTGTGAACTTAGGTCATTTATTAATAAGGGCCGGTCAGATATAAACCTTACAGGACATGCAAAAATGCTTTCTTCCATATAGGGGTCGGTGTATAAGTATTACCTTCCCACCAGTAGCTCATAAATCAGGATCCCAAGGGACCAAAAGTCCACTGCAAAGTCATGTCCCTGGTTTTTGATGATCTCTGGGGCCATGTACTCAGGAGTACCCACAAATGAATAGGTTTTCTCTCCACGCACCAACTCCCTGGAAAAGCCAAAGTCCACCTGCAGAGATAAACACACAAACACACACACACACACACACACACATACTACATGTGAAAACACTGGTGAGCTTTAAGAGTACAGAGATGGACACACATACACAGATGAGTACTCACCAGTTTGACATAACCCTTTATGTCCAGCATCAGGTTTTCAGGCTTTAGGTCTCTGTACATGATGTTCTTCTTGTGAAGGTAGGCGTAAGCCTCCACCACACAGGCAGTGCAGAACACAGCGATGGGCTCGTCAAAACGCCCTCTGAAATCACAGACACGGAAGACTCTCCAACAACTTCCTCCTCTGCTCGCTTTGATATGGTTTCAAACTAATTTAGGACCTTCCGTCACTTTCTGTTACTGATATTTTCATTTGTCTGGGCCAAACAGCTCTGGAGAGCAGAAGTGTATGTCATTGTTGTCACTGTAGATTGCTGTGGGTAACAGCATCAGCTGTACTTCTCTGTGTTGATCTCAAGATGTAATAATAGCAATAACTTGTGTTTCCCACCGTTTTGTGTTAAGCAATGCTCAAACAAAACGTTCTTTCTTTCACAATATGCCGTTGGTTTACACTGAGGAATAATTCCGCCTCGCACAACAGCGCACCCCAATATTCTGCTTGTACAAACATCTAAATGAGGAAATGAGTTGTTGTCTGTGTTTTCTCACACTTCTTTGAGTTTGGTCCAGATCTCTCCTCCCACACAGAACTCCATGACCATGTAGATGTACCGTGTGTCTTTAAAGGCAGCATGAAGCCTGCAGAGAGAGAGCGAGAGAGAGAGAGAAACTGGATTAAAGCAGGATTAAAGACCAACTCACGCCTCCAAGTTATCTGTACATTAAACTGAATCTATATGCCGTGATTAAATGATGGTGACTGTGTGTCTGTGATCGTAGATACCTGACGATGAAGTCGCACTGGGTGGCTTTAAGGATCTTTTTCTCGAACAACATGTGCTCCTCCTGTCTCTTGGCAACAATGTGCTTCTTGCTGACCCGCTTCATAGCATAATACTTCCCATGATTCACAGTGGTCATCTTTAAAAGGAGCAAAAACAATCACTACACTATTAGTGGGGATAAACATGGTTTAAAAGATTTGTTTGCTACTCAAAGAAACGACAACAATCCCAATATGGTTTTGCATAAGTGAACTAGTGCATTTTACATTCCAGCAAATATTGAAACAGTGCTTATACGAGACAAACAACACTCACCAGCTCAACACGGCCAAACCCTCCGACTCCAAGCGTGACAGGATCTCCTTGATAGCGACCCTCCTGGTACAGCACCGGGACCATGTCCTTAAACCTCAGAGTGGAGCCGGGACTGATCGAGACAGACGGTTGACAAATGCTATTTCATTTCAAGAAACTGACTTATGTTATTTATAATGATCGTGTTACATCTTTCGGCCTGCATCCACCCAGTCTTATCTTCTTCTACAGCCACTCACCTCGACTTTTCTGGAGCTTGTGCCTCCTGGAGCACTTTGGAGCTGGGAGTGAAAACCAAATGAATCAGGACAGTCTATTAAGCATTTACACATCACACTATTGTCAGCAAGGCTCAAAAGATTCATGGTTGTGAAACGAAAAGTGTTCTGCGGTACGTACTCGTCAAACAGCTCTAGGTGTTCTATGGGAATTGTCTCTTCGAACACCCTAAACGAAAGGCGTTGTTAGTGAAACTGCATCAATCCAAAAAAGTACACAACAAAAAGCTCATGCCGTGAAAACAACAGTGACAGAGAACAAATACACTGGAGGAATTTCTGTCAAGGATCTTTCTGCCCGGGAGCGACAGCCCGACCGAACAGGAACGTTTAATGTCGAGCCAGACTCACTCCTTGTCAATGGAGAAGCAGGTAACTGGGCCGTCAGCACTGCAAGTGGCTGTTCTCAAGACTTCCCTGCAGGAGGAAAAAACATCGCACACGTGAACTCAGAGAAACTGCACGTCATTACTGCTCATACACAATGTTGTGTGTGTCAGAAATCGATGACATCGTGTTTAAGTTTTTGTTTTTGCAGCAACGGGACTGATTTTCGACATGAATAAACAATGGCACGTGGTTTCTTGATTTATAGGCTTTTCACAGCACATTCCCACGTTACATATTTATGAATTCATTGATCTTTATGCTGCACACATCTACATCCAAACAACCTCCCAATAGAACAATTAAATGCTGATTAGAGGCGAAACACACTAGCTGCATGATATTAGATTTTTCTATATTAAAAAGCCAATATCACCTGTATATAATCAAACCAATGAGTCTCTTATTGTACCGTAGATTACATATAATGTACAATCTTTGGGTTTTATGTTGTTGTTTTTCTACAACAACCAGCCAAAAGTTTGATGCAGACGATTTTAACTGTTTGCAAAATGTTTTGGATTTTCTATCATTTTACCACAACTTGGCTGATTTGCATATCAACAGCACTGAGATTTTCACGTTTCGAAGATAAATGTCAGGTTGCACAACCATAATGTCAGAGATGACAGCAGCCAGAAGACGGTGCACAGAGCAGTGGGTGTTGCACAGGTCTCTCCAACAAATGCCCTGAGGCATGTGTTGCCATGGTTACCGTATGAGGGCCTGTTCCCCGAAATGCTCCCCTTTCCCCATCCTGCGAATCTGCTTCTGATGCCCGTTCACGTTCTTGGTCACCAGGACCTGAGGGGGCGAAACACACACGTGAGAGGGAGGAAGAGATAATGAGTGCATATGTATCCAGTTCTAAACGGGCCGGTGCAACACACTGAAATATTCAAATATGAGTTTGCATCCACACAATGCAACACCGTACCTCTCCTTTGAGGATGATGTAGAAGGTGTTTGCTTCTGCTCCTTCTCGAACTATAACATCTTTGTCCTGGTACTTCACCTAAGGAAGACAAGACAAGTAGCATAAGAACAACACATGTCATTTTCATATATACAAAACGTTATCAGATAAGTCTTTTAGGTGAAAATAAAGTATGTGATTTACAGGACAAGAAAGCCACCAATATTACACCAAGTGTCTTGAAAATGCCCTCTTTCAGGCTGCTGAGATTTAAAATATGTCAGCAACAAAAAAACTAAAAAAAGGAACTAAAAGGAATTAAAACAGGAACAAAAAATATCGTTGTATTTAACTTCATCTTCAAAAACAGATTCAAAACTGGATTTCTGCTTTGTTTTCACATGAGTAACAATCACTTGTAACACACAAAGTTCACAGTGGGACATCTAAGTACACACCTCCTCCATAGAGTCAATTATTTTGGACAGCTGGACATCATTCAGGTCCTTTAGGGTACGAGACCTGTGACAGCATACGGAAAATGAAGCAACAGAGATATAAATAGTTGTTACATGGTCCATTAAGTAAAGCAGTCACGTGATGGCAGTGTGACATGACAGGAAAGCACCAAATCAAACCGGATATTCAATTTCTACTCGCTGCAGCGTTCTTAAACTCACGTCTTCAGGAAGCCCATGAGGTCCTCTCGCTTCTTCTTGGACTTGTTGGTAATGATCGTCCTGTAGGTCTGTCGCTCCATGCTCCACAGACGCACTGCTGTCTTTGCTGCAACAAGTGAAAGCGATGAGCAGTTTAGACTGTTAAGTATGGCTTTCCTATATTTAAAAAAGGCTGTTATGGACAAAAACACAACTAACCCCATGCTACCACACAAAAAAAAAACACATACGCTATTTCTACCGACAGTATGAAAATAAAATAATCTGCATGTCCTTCCAAGAGGCGCCATCACAGGGACTGACCTTTGACTGTTGCTGTCCGTTTGCAGTTGTACAAGATGGCCAGTTCCCCGAACACATCGCCAGTGGTCAGGCTGCGGAGGTTTCGGCCTGCCTGAGTGACGAGGAGCTCACCAGCTAAAAGATGGAAGGAAAAGAAACAGGAATGTGTTTTGACTACATTTACCACATGTTATATATCGTATCAATGTTGGGGGTTTTTTTATTAAGGGGTTTTCAAATCAAACTCGTTATAAATCCTCCATCACACTCAGCCACAGCAGGACGACCATAACACACATCCACACACACCGGGACGTGTCCCCACCTGCTACTATGTACATGCTGTCTCCTTCTGAGCCCTCTTTAATGACGTCATCTCCCGGTTTGAAGCTGGACACCGCTAAGAGATCCACCATCATGGCGGTTTGCTCATCGTCGAGGCGGCTCAGGAAGTCATTCTTCTGGATGGCTTTGACGATCAGATTTGTCTCGCTGATAAGAGAAGTCATCTTCAGCTAAGTGTCATTGAAACCTCGAGGAGCTCCCACACAACATGCAAACCCATCATGCATTTTTTTAGGTCTTTGGCATGCGGGAGAGGAAATCCTATTCGATTTGTCAACACTGCAAATGGAAAAAAACCCTGTGCAGTCTTACATAAATGGGATATTCTGCCATCAGTAGTACTAATTACCAACCTGACCAGTTTCTTGACCCTCTTGCGTGTAATCTCCAGAGTCTCGGGGAGCGGTTCAGAGGCGATGACAGCCGCACGGCTCTTTCTGACCTGCGGTTCAATCTCATTACCGCTCTGAGAGGGAAATTCTGAGACGGACAAACAGTGGAACGCATTAACTGTAAATGTCTGCAGCTGAATGTTGTATCAAAGGTCACCTTCTTCATGTCCCTGCTGCCTATTATGGCCTCTTACCCAGATCATCATATTGACCGTTCAGCTCCTGCAAAAGTTTTTCCTTCTCCTGCAGTCGTTGTTCTATGACAATAAAAGCAGAAAAACAATACTTTTAATGTACAAAACATCACAAGAAACATGCTGCTGTTGTGCAAGTTCATTCATTTTCTTAACATAAACATTTATAAGATGGATGTCAGTGCTCTCTGGTGCCAATACAAACCGGTACAACATAGGATGAGCTAATATCAGCCGATATGTGTGTGTGGTCTGCAAGATGTTTTTTAGTTGTTGCAGACAGTGTTACTGTAACAGTCGAGATGTGATGTTGGGTGTAGTCTAATGTAAAGATACTCTTTAATGTAGTTAGAATTGTACTCACCCAGGTCCTTGTTTTGCCTCTGCAGCTCCTGGTTGATCATACATTGTTTTTCCAGCTGCTGCTTCAGCTCCTCCAGCTGCTTCTCCATGACTAAAATAATACAAAGAAATAAAGATGACATGGAATCAATGGTGTGAAGATTAACTGCAGCACGCTCAATGGTAGGCAGGTATCCGGACACAGACACGAAGCCTACCAAAGATGCTGCGTGCAGACTCACACACACACAAACACCTTATATCATATTTCAACTGTATGTAACTATACTGATTACTGATGCCTTTTTCCCAAGGCACTGAACTCTACTGCCCTGCCTGCACACAGCAAGAGTCCCGCTGAATAATGCAGACTAATGAAGGACAGTCAACAGGGTGTTTTCTAAACGCTGTCACACCCTGCCAGCTTGTGCTAAAGATCTGTTGACAGAACCTGTTTAAATAGTACAACAACCTTCATTGTTAGCTCACTTATTTCAGACTGTATGCTATTTCTTCGCTCTCCCTGTTTGTTTGCTTCGGCAATAATGTGGCATTAACAGCCTCTGCTTTAAAATGTAGTGTTTAAGTTTGAGAGTAGAGCAAACCTAGTAACAAATACGTGCGCACGCAAACAAATGAATGAACCTTTACAATCAATACAAACACAAGGTTGCAGGGCCAATATCCTAAACACACACACACTGGATTCAGTAGGTGGACGAGCTGTTTGCCTCAGCGTGCTCGTCATGTGACCCCTCCCGAGTTACCCGCTGCCTCACCCTGAACATTGGACAGCACTGAGATTAGACGTTGAAGGAAATCATAAAGTCGCTGAGCAATAGCCCATCAAAAAAATAAAAAATGCCTCCTGTTATACTTTTAAAGATGTTTCTTTGATGTTTCTTTGAGGTGAGTTGAATAAGAGCACAGGGTTCTTTGCAGCTGTCACCTAGATTGGATGTGATATTTGCCATCACACCAATGATTCACTATCAACAACACTGTGATAATCCAGTCCAGTACATAACACAATGCCGCTGCAGCGCCAGGAGTCAATGGCGCTGTGTAGCAGGAAAGGCAATGTTTGATGGTTTTAAAATGTTACAGGGAACACAATGGCAGCAACAACAACAACAAAAAACGGAAACTACATACTAGAAAGTCAGATTTAGCCTCGGGGAGTTTTATTAACCTGACACACACACAGAGACAGAGAGAGAGACAGTCCTGTGGACAAACATTATTTGAAAGCTTGAACTGCAGCTATAAATAAAGACAACTGATTATGATGATAACCTTCAGAGCCTGCTGGTCAACATGTAAATAATGAGAACCACGCACTCACTATTTCAGCCCGGCACGACTGGAAACAACCTTTTATTTAGGTGATGCAGTGGCTAGAAAACACTGAGATATTTCTCTGAAAGTCTCTCAGGTTTGACACGTGTTAAACACTGATTGTATGAAGCCGTGATTCATCCAGCAACTGATTCCAGGAGAGAACGGGCAATGGGGAATTAGCAGAGACAACTTTAAAAAATGAGGGTATTTCTGTCTGCTTGTCAGCTGCACAGGAGCAACATGATGCCCGACCATCACCATTTTACTGATACTGGAAATGTACACTCCATACTGTCTGATTAGTAATTCATGGCCAAGTGTAATTACAGCTGAATACTCATGAGAGGCTCTGTGATAGAAAACAGGAGAGATCATATGTTTAAGATGAACTCTTTTACTGGATATTAGGGCTTTCTAGCACGTGCAGATCATCATGCTTTTACTTAATAGGCAACAACTGCATTGCCTCTCTGAGGGAAGCCATGACATGAAAAACAGTTTATTTTGCTGTTTACAAGCCTGCAAAGGTACAACGTTTGCACTTTAAACACATGGAGCCATCCTGTTTTGGCACCATGAGATCCAACTCTGAAAGTCACAAGTGATATGTAGACACACTCACCTGCAGGCTGTGTGTGGATCAGGAGAGTAGATGAATGTCTGTCCAGCCTATAAAGGCCGCATGGATCATAGGAGTCAGATAATCACCCTGAACCGCTCACAAGATCCACTCCCAGCTGTGGAGAAGTATTCGCTGTGTGTTCAATATCAGAGACCTGCTTGACCCCCAGACACACCTGAGCAGATAAAAAACATGCAGTCTGCAACCTCTGTTTAGCATTACTTCATCTTCTAGCGCCGCACACTTTCTCAGCTTGCATTGCCATGTCTGCTCTTCAGCTGCTAGTATTTTTTCTTCTCCTCGGCTCTCTCTCTCTCTCTCTCTCTCTCTCTCTCTCTCTCTGTCTCACCCTCAATCTTTTCCTAGTTGTCTATCTGTCAATCTCAGCAGGTCTGGTGTTGAATCATTAATGATAACCTGAGGCTCCTCCCACCACACCAGGTAGAGGTACACAGGCAAGAAGAAGAGGAGGAGGAGGAGGAGGATGGACTGGAAAAAGCTAAATTTGGGGTGTGAAAAAATCATGCACAGCTGCCAAAATGCACATTTGAACCAGATTTGTTTTTGCCGATTTCAATGCATCTTATTGTCTCTCAAAAGTAGTCTGTTTTTTTTTTTTAACTTGAAAACATAACTGCTGATTTGGGATTTCTGCGACATTTAGCTGTGATATATTATTTCCTGCTGACAAAGAAGACAAATACCCGAGTGGAGGAATAAGTAAATAATGAGAAAGTCAAGATGACAGAAGGGGGAAGTGAATTCTTCTACTTTCATGTTTTTGTAAACCGAGGAAAAAAATCCAGTTTTTCAAAGACAATCACTTTATAATGTGATCACAGTGAGTGCCTTTCCCCCGAGAGTCACGTTCACATACGTGACAGCTGGAGTTGAGGGTAATCATGAAAGCTGAGGGCAACCAGGACAACTCTGATTATATCTGCCAGAGTTAGAAAGTGCCTATTAGATTTTTCCACAGAGTAAACGCCTGGATGTTTTCCAGGCCGCAGCATCATTAAATTAACCTAAATGAGGCTGAAGGGTTAGCATTGTGACAGAGGGCGTGGGCCTTTATTGTTCACAGTTAATTATTGATACTCTGTCTGGTTAATAAACTACATCGACCCCGCCGATCAGAGATAAAAGGTTCTCGGATTCCGGCTGTGGAACAGCCGGGAACTCAGTGACTGGCTGTGTACGTTGCGTGACCTTTTTCCATTAGGACCAATATGGTGATTTGTGTTGATCAAAACAAACCCAGGCTGGATTAGGCGTCGCTACGACTTATGAGACCCGAGATTTACGGACGTCTTCCGTTTACAATCACTTCCAGATGTTGAATCACAAACTGAGAATTCAATTTTCATTTCTATCATTCTTTAATTCAAGTGTATTTCACAAAAACCCAAATAGATTGTTCATAATGCCCAAAGTTCTTTCAGACGAAGGCTAACAATCTTAACTGTTATTGCAAACACTCTGTGATTGTGGTTACAGCTCATACAGAAGGGAAAGTGGAAACAAATAAAAACAGCATTTGTCCATTGAAAATACACATCAATTAAAGTGAAAGTGGTTAACATCTGCAAAGAGCTGATGAGCAAATAAACTCAATATGCCAACAATTACCAACATTTGCCGCTATAAGCTTCACATTTCTCTAACTGCAGCTTCTAGTAATAGTGACATAAATCATACGTTCCCTTGGTATTGTCATTATAAAATTATGCATTTAATTCATCAATGCACTATTGGTGTTACACACACGCATATTAAAAACCCTCTACATGGTCTCGACTAATTTGAAAAGACATTCAGTTGACACACCAAGCGGGATAAATTCAGTGACTAAACTCAAAACAAATGGCCACCTCGAACTACGAACTAGATACATTTATTTAAAATCTATTGCCCATTCCCAAACAATGTGCATCAGTGGGGGGGAAACAAAAGGCAGAGAACAACACGTGCAAATTCAAAAAACGCTATTCAATTATTGACAGCGGGTACATAATACCTCAAGTACTTTTTACAGCGTCAGCTTTTTCACCTCTGATGTACTGCATAATTTACATGGCAACCAAGCACACCGCGAAGAGCATATACAAGCACACAATACCTTTACATGTTTACGCTTCAGTTTTTTTGATTTAAAATCAAAAGAACTCAGATGATGAAGCTATCTTACAATGCCGTGAGAGTTTCCTTCATGGCAGATATGTGTTGACCTGCTGTGTGGGTGTTTTGAGGTTGAGACTAACAGTTTTAACAACTGAACCGTTAGCAGGATTACCTCAAAATACAGTATGTATGGAGAAACACGGCGAAGATGTGGGGGGGGAGATAATCCTTTGAGGAATGTTACACACCGGAAGGAACACAAGTCTAACGAGGCAAAACAAACAGCATATCTGTCAAGCTGTGTTATTTTCACATTCAGTTCATTTCTATTTAAAATTACATTTTCAAATAGTATTTAAACTTAAAGCACTCGTTTTCTATCGATAATTGTGCATTTTGGTTTCAACACGCGTAGTGCTGCAAGAGAGAAACATGATTAAAATCGATTTACAGTCTATTGACTTCTTTTAAACCAATACATAAATTTCGTTGTTTTTTTTTTAGTGTGCATTGATGCAATAGTAGGCATTGACTTAGTTATGCACTTTTTTTTTTGTTTTCAATCAACCTGAGAAGATGAGGAGGTAGATAGCATCGCTGCAGTGAGGTCGTATGATTGTACAATACAGTCGGTCATTCTCTGTGCACACATCGAGGAGACCCAACGTTTCTGTGGTATGACGACGACATGCAAAGCTGAGCAATGCGTTTTAGTGACGATGATGCCGGTGACTTTATATTCTCCTCAGCTCGCAGCAATCCTATAGTTCAGAGTACAAACAAGAGTGATGGGGGTGAAGAGGTGATCAGCTCCTTTGCTCGTCCTTAACGCCACAGGCTTTCCTAATGTCCTTGGGGTGCTCGAAGGCGGCTTGGACAAACTGGCCAAACAGGCGCTCCATGTAGCTTTCACCCCGGGGGAACAAACCCTGCAGGAAGGCGATGTGTCCACCGCAGGCCGTCAACAGCAGAGCGACATTAGGCAGGCTCTGGATCGTGGTCAACGGTAAGGCTGCGCGTCAGGAAACACATTGGAAAAGATTTAGTGAGCTAGACTTGCTAAAACATGTAGCATGGAGACTGACATATTCACCACAGCACAGGAGAAGGGATTAAAGAGCAGCTTCACAGGGTTTTAGGTGGAAACGCATCAATTCAAACCCATATACACACACACACCACCGCATCCCATTTTCAGCCATTTTAACAATAACATCCGGCAGTCAATTCATAGAACTGATCACAAAAAAACAAAAGTGAAACATCATCCATCTTCTCCTGTTGCTTACTCACCGTGCTGGGGAGAGAAGGGGTCATCAGCAGCGTTGAGACACAAGATGGGAACCACTGTGTTATGGAGTTTGTTGTCCGGGCTGGCATCGAAGTAATAGTCCGTGCAAGATTTATAACCAAACAGCAAAGAGGTGAAGCGTTCGTCAAACTCGCGGATAGTCTGCGCCTAGAGGAGAGGGGATGAAAAGGAAAGGCCATCAAACACACTGGAAAAGGAAATAGGAAACGATGATGTAAAAGTAAAGAACGGACCATACCTTCAAGACATGTTCGAAGTCCACCACTTTCTCCAGAACCTTCCTGTGCCTGTGAGAAACATGTTTTTTTTTGTAAACAGAGTCAACAACAAATGTTTAAACTAACCACAGGAATTCATGAAAATGCAACTTATCCGACCTGGTGACAGAACTACACAGGCTGGCGGTGAGGTATCTATTGAACAGCAGCCAATTGAGCGGCTCTTCCATTGAGGCGGCAGACTTCAGTGCATTCCAGGGGATCGAGATGGTGAAACCCGCCACCATCCCGGAGTCTGAACGCTTACGGGCCAGATAGTTTAATAATAACATGCTGTACAGGGTGACAGGAGAGAAGGTTACAGGAAAAGACGACAGCAATTTTACAAAAGGCAGAGAGGAAACAAAGATGGGATCAATTTCACCATAAAATAAACTTTCATCAGAGAAATGCAAGCCCTTGGAAACCATCACACTCTGCACCGACTCACCCTCCCAAGGACACACCAGCACCAAGCACAGGGGCAGATGGGTAAAGTCCTTTAATGTGGTGCACCACATGCTCAAGATCCGAGGTATTGGCTGCACAGTAGGTGACAGGCGTCTGAAGTGAGCAGAGGGACAGAGGAGGAGCATTATACGCTGTGTTCAAGCGCCAGATTTTGAGTTTTAACTCCTGCAACAAATCCAGTGAAAAGACCAAAACCAACATTGCCTCAGTTGGTCTCTCAATACTTTTCAACTACGCTGCCTGTCTGTAGCATTGAAAAAGATAAAAAATGCATCTAATTAAGATGTAGATCTTTAAAACTGGGACACAAAAAAGGCATTTTCTGGGCACTGTAGTTTCTCACACAAAAGTTACTCAAACAGGAGTAAATAGTGTGTTTGTTTGGGACTATTTTCAGCCGCGGATTAATACACAGATGGTGCTCTAGTCGTGTTTGACTAAAAAAAAAAATGACAGGGCAATGTCCATCCACAGTAGAGCTCACTGACGTGTAAATAATAGATTTTGGGAGATCTATGGCACAGACTCACAGTAGAAGCTATATGAGGCTTTGGATACACTGAACAATAATTGTTAAATGTATTGTTCTCAATTCACTTTGGTCTTTTCATGGGATTTTTTTGACAGTAAGAAAAATAATCCGTAATAAAAAATAATAATAAATATCCGGTTTTATTATTTCCGCCAGGAGATTATGTATTAGGTGGTGTGTGTGTGTGTGTGTGTGTGTGTGTGTGTGTGTGTGTGTGTGTGTCTGTCTGTCTACTGCTAATCCCGCATACTGCTGGACCCTTCAGCCTAATAGTCATGGTTGCAGTGATTTACACTTATTAAAAACATATTTTATTAACTGTTTTCTACCGTCACTGACTGACTGACACCTCACTACTCTTAACCAGCTAGTGATCAGCAACTGCTTTGTGAGAGTGAAATATGCGTTTGCTACGTTTGCGGTCTAGACGGTGGGTAATTGAGGTTTGTAGTGGTCATTGCAGACACCCTCGGGCGTAGATCTGCACTCTGAGTGCTGTTTTCTAGTTCTTAAAAAACGTTTTGGAAATAGCAGCGGAATTAACTGTGGCATGGTCATAGATTATTACGTAATAATTGCACTCACCAGCAACTCTTCCCCTCCAAGCCCTCTGTTGTTGAAAACCACACATCTGGGAAAAAAACATGATCTATGATCACAGCTACAGCAGCTACTGGACATTAAATTCAAGAATTATATCATGAAAGAGGGGGGGGGGGCACAAGTGAGGAGCACAACGGACCTGTAGCCGCGGCGGGTGGCCTGGTTGAGGGCATGCAGCACATAGGACTGCTTGCTGTTTCCTATCAGGCCTGGGAGGATCAGTACTGTGGGACGTGTAGAGGACTCTGGGTAGGTCGCACTGTCCTTATTGTCCATCCAGTCCAGAGAAATCTGACCCCCATCAACCGTACTTATCAGCTCACTGAAGGATGAAGGGAGGATTACTAGCACACGCGTACTTAAACACTATAAAAAATATATATATAGATGCTGTAGAAAAGATAACAGGATGACTGGGAACTCGTGCCGGAGGTTCATCCTACTTGCGATAATTGACGGGGGGTCTGGACTTGAGGACGGCACAGACCAGTGTTTGCAGCCGGCCTCCCCAGCACCACGGAGTGGGAATGAAGCGCTCAGCCACCACAGGACAGTGCTTGTGAAGGAATGCACTGAACGCCTGGCTCGAGACCAGGGCTGGTGTCTGAGAGTATAAGAGACCAAATTTAAAAAAACACAGGTTTCTTGACATTAGTAGTTGTGACAGACAAGCATGCATGCAACACCAGATAGTATATTATGAGAGGTATGTAGCTTTAAAAGCAGGGTGTGTATGTGTGTGTTTACAGGGCGTGGTAAACAGTACAGTGTCTACAGGATCTGACAAACACAACCCAATATGATGTATTCTCTATGATGTATGGAAACACAACTAACATGCACACTTTCATACTACATGTAGTGGTTAACTTGCCCATCTGGACCGTAGCATACAACATGAGTATTATATGGTACTAAACCAACACTCATTGAGTAGTTGACATATAACAAAAGGCTGGAAGTTGGATTAAAGTTAAAGTAATATATCAAGTTAGAATAACAAACATTTGCAGGTCCTGGATTTGCTGTTTTTCACAGTTTTAAATCATTGTAAATGTAATACAATATAATATTGGGTTTTTGGCTTTTGGAAATTGCAATTAACATTTTTTTAAAGTGTTTATCATATGTTGTAGACTAAGGTAATCAACAGATCAATCAATAATGAAAATAACTGGTAGCACTGTGTTTTAATCTCCCTGTAACACGTTTAAGTGTTTATTAATGTGGCTGTCACCAATTACAACTATAGGTCGTATAAAAAACAAACAAAATAACACACAGTAAAAACCTCAAACAAAGAAAAACAAATTGATAAAATAAATGAGAAGAAAAGAAGAAAAGGAGATAGAGAAGAGGTGGTGTGTAGTGCGGTCATTGTCTAACCTTTACCACAGTGACTGACCTGACTCTTGCGGCCCCACAGATAGTACAGTGCTGCCGTGAGGGAGCAGATGAACACCGTGTAAGGCCTGGAAACACACTCCCAACATGTTCTCCATAGCTCCCAATGAGATAACAACATTGCTTTTGTCTTATTTAGTTAGCTGCAGAAGAGAGCTAACCGGCTAGCTGACGGTACTCAGGGAGGTATGGCTCCTTTTAACCGACACAACGGGGACAGTAGTTACAGTAACGCCTGACAACCTGTCTTCATCACCACCAGCTACAACGTTAAAGATGTTGTTTTACAGCCGCTCCTTTGCTCCGAGACGTCCCATCGCCTCTCTGTCAAGTGATGGCAAAAACAATAAGCCGCTATCCACCTGAAAGCTTTTTATTCACCGGTGTTTCCTTTGGGAGCTGCTCCTGCTGCTTCCTGGTTTCTGTCAGACCCGCAACCGAAGATCGTATGTTTAAAAATGATACACCTCCAATGTCAGAGGGCGTCTTTAGCTGACGTTATAACGATCCGCCTTTAACGCTCCGCCGTCACCGTGTATGAGGGTTAGTTAGGGGTATTCACAGACGGACTGCAAATATGGACGTTGGCTGACACGCATGCGCAGTTCTTCTTCTTTGTTATTTAACGCCCGGCCGGTTGGCAACAATCGTATGAGGTGCATTACCGCCACATTCTGTACCACTTTTAACAAGGTTGGGGGTTTCATATGTAAAGTGCATTTTTTGCTTTCCCTTTTTTCATAAGGCCACAGATTAATTGGGTGTAATTTATCATTACATGGCTTGCAGGAGTTTCAGAAAAAGAAAAAAAAGTATCAGTTGGGTGTGTTCTTGTTGCATGAAGCGCAAAATTGTGCTTGAACATTTGCACCTGACTTTAAAGATAGTGTCACCATTGTGTTTCCTAGAAATGGAAGCAGAGTGAGAACTCTTTCCTGCATATCCCAGCTTTGTAAGACTTTAAAAAAACATCCTTATCCTTATCCTGTTAACTCCATGTGTCACGGCCAGGCCTGCTTGTCCCATGTGTGTATCTTATGGGCAGGGCTTCGACCTGGTCTCCTCCTAATTACAACTCACCTCACCAGCCCAGTCAAGCCAGCTGCACTCCATCAACTCATCAACCCAACAGTATATCTACCCCGGTTCTTCATCCACTCTTCGCCAGATCGTTGTTTACAGCTCACGCGGTAGCTAGTAGTTCTTGGCCGCTCTGTTTGAAGTTAATTCTGAGTTTTCCTCAAGTGTTGTTTCAGCGCTTTAACCCTGTCTCTCTGTTCCTGCAGTTTTTCCATCCTCCCGGTTCCCCAGTCTGCCTGCCCTGCCCTACCTCCTCCTGCCTGGATTCCACCCTCACCCTCCCTGGACTTTCCCGCGGTGCTCTGGTCATTCCCCCCCCCCCTTGGTTTCCTGTAAATAAACCTTTCACCTATAATCCCTGGTCCATGCCTGCATTTCGGTCCACACTCACAGTCCCGTGACACCATGTCTCCCATTACGACACCACACAGGGCATAACAGACAACATCTTCTCCATCCATCCATCCATTTTCCTCCGCTTATCCGGGGTCGGGTCGCGGTGGCAACAGGCCAAGCAGGCTGACCCAGACTTCCCTCTCACCGGCAACATGTTCCAGCTCATTCTGGGGGATCCCGAGGTGTTCCCAGACCAGCTGGGAGATGTAATCCCTCCAGCGTGTTCTGGGTCTTCCCCGGGGTCTCTTCCCAGTTGGACGTGCCTGGAAAACCTCCAGTGGGAGGCGTCCAGGAGGCATCCTAATTAGATGCCCGAACCACCTCAGCTGACTCCTTTCGACGCGAAGGAATAGCGGCTCGAATCCAAGCTCCCTCCTGATGACCGAGCTCCTTACCCTATCTCTAAGGCTGAGCCCGGCCACCCTACGGAGGAAGCTCATTTCGGCCGCTTGTAGCCGCGACCTTGTCCTTTCGGTCACGACCCAGAGTTCGTGACCATAGGTGAGGGTAGGAACGTAGACCGAGTGGTAAATTGAGAGCTTTGCCTTCCGGCTCAGCTCCCTCTTCACCAAGACGGTCCGGTACAGAGACCGGATCGTCCGTTGTAATGGGTCCGGCACCCCATACTCCCGAAGCACCCCCCACAAGAACCCCCGAGGGACCCGGTCGAAAGCCTTCTCCAAGTCCACAAAGCACATGTAGACTGGTTGGGCAAACTCCCAGAACCCCTCCAGTAGTCTTGCGAGGGTAAAGAGCTGTTCCACGGCCGGGACGGAATCCGCATTGCTCCTCTTGAATCTGAGGTTCGACAAACGGTCGGAGCCTCCTTTCCAGCACCCTGGCATAAGCCTTCCCCGGGAGGCTGAGTAGTGTGATACCCTGGTAATTCGAGCACACTCTCCGGTCCCCCTTTTTGAAAATGGGCCTCCCCGAACTCCTCCCATGCCCGAGTTTTAGCATTCGCGACCACCGCAGCTGCAGCCCTTCTGGCCTGCCGGTACCTGTCAGCTGCTTCGGGAGACCCCTGGGCCAACCAGGCCTTGAAGGTCTCCTTCTTCAGCTTGACAGCTTCCCTCACCTCCGGTGTCCACCACCGGGTTCTCGGGTTGCCGCCACGACAGGCACCGATGACCTTCCGGCCGCAGCTCCTAGCGGCCGCGTCCACAATAGAGGCTTTGAACATGGTTCATTCGGATTACATGTCCCCAACCTCCCTCGGGATGTGTGAGAAGTTCTTCCGGAGGTGGGAGTTAAAGACCTCCCGGACAGGGTCCTCCGCCAGACGTTCTCAGTTCACCCTCACTACACGTTTGGGCTTGCCGGGTCTTTCCAACCGGTTCCCCTGCCATCTGATCCAACTCACCACTAGGTGGTGATCAGTTGACAGCTCTGCTCCTCTCTTCACCCGAGTGTCCAAGACATACGGCCGCAAATCAAATGATACGATTACAAAGTCGATCATTGATCTCCGGCCTAAGGTACACTTATGAGCCACCTTATGTTCGAACATGGTGTTCGTTATGGCCAAACCGTGGCAAGCACAGAAGTCCAATAACGAGACGCCATTCGGGTTCAGATCGGGCAAGCCGTTCCTCCCAATCACCTCCCGCCAGGTTTCTCCGTCATTGCCCACGTGAGCATTGAAGTCCCCCAGTCGGCAGGCGGCGCCCTTTCCAGGACCCCTCCCACCGACTCCAAGAAGGCCGGATACTCTGAACTGCTGTTTGGTGCATAAGCACAAACCACAGTCAGAGCCTTGCTCCCCGCAACCCGTAGGCGCATGGAGGCGACCCTCTCATTCTCCGGGGAGAACTCCAACACAGCGGCGCTCAGCCAGGGGCTCGTGAGTATCCCCACTCCCGCCCGGCACCTCTCAACCTGGGCAACTCCAGAAAAGGACAAAGTCCAATCCCTCTCCAGGAGCTTGGTTCCAGAGCCAGCGCTGTGTGTGGAGGTGAGTCCAACTATATCTAGCTGGTATCGCTCCACCTCCTGCACCAGCTCTGGCTCTTTCCCCGCTAGCGAGGTGACGTTCCACGTCCCTAGAGCTAGTCTATGCTTCCAGCGATCGGCTCGCCCAGGCCTCCCGCCTGACCCGCAGCCCGGTCTGCATTGCACCCGACCCCGATGCTTGTCCCTGCGGGTGGTGGGTCCACAGGGTGGCTGCTCCATGCTGTTTATTCAGGCTGAGCCCGACCGGCCCCATGGGCAAAGGCCCGGCCACCAGACGCTCGCCGACGAGCTCCCATCCTGGGTCTGGCTCCGGGAGGGTGCCCCGGTTTCCTTGGTCCGGGCGAGGTGGCTAAAGTCCGTGGGCTGCTTATCATTAGAGTTGTTTTGAACCACTCTTAGTCTGGGCTCTCCCCCGAGACCCGTTTGCCTTGGGAGACCCTACCAGGGGCTAATGCCCCGGACAACATAGCTCCCAGGATCGCTGAGCCACTCAAACTCCTCCACCACGTTAAGGTGGTGATTCGCGGAGGAGCAACATCTTCTCGCTGTATGCAAATATAAACTTTACATACAGCCTCACTCAAAACGGCACCATTTTATATTTTAAGATAGGCTAACTTCGTTTTATTACAGACTTTTGAATTCCTTTGTGAAGCTGTAAAATTGATCTAATTTGAAGAAAAAGCTGAAGATAAACAGCGATTTATATGTAGTTTTATAAACGGCTCATTTGCCCAGCACAAGTATTTAAGCTCAAACTAACCCGTTCACTTCCTCTTCGACTCCGTTCTCTCATCCCTCCCTCCCAACCCCGTTTTTGTGTTTTCCTTTTCTCTCTCTCTTGCAGAATTACAGGAATGACAGGGGACTCTGCACCGCCAGAGATTCCTAAGAGACGGCCCCCACCCAACAGTCTCCGTTCCCACCAGCAGCCGGACACCAACGGTCTCCCACCTCATCCCTTCATCCCTAACCTTCATCCCTACCCTACCCTCTACCCCTACCCTACCCTTCATCCCTCGACCCCTACCCTTCATCCCTCGACCCCTACCCTTCATCCCTTCATCCCTCAACCCCTACCCTTCATCCCTCGACCCCTACCCTTCATCCCTCGACCCCTTCCTCTTCCAGTCTTACAATCATCTCATTACGCAATAAACCTCTAAACTCATACTGTTATTGGCGTGATCCTTGTTAGTGAAATACAACAATAACAAAGCACGCACTAAAGTTCTTGTTTCACAATTTATTCCTTGTTGATTGCATGACATCTCTCAATATTTTCATTTAGTGTCTTACAAAATAAGGTCTTCCTCTAAATCTTTCTTGATTGACTTGATTTGAGGATCTTCTGCAGCCAGGACTCATTAGTTGAGTGGGATTCCTGTAACCACCTCTGACTCGATACCACACTCATCATTTCCACGCTTGATCTTGAAGAAACCTGAAATGAGAAGACACAAAAAAATGACTTAAACTTCTTAACCATATCACTCATTGCCAAATTTATTATGTAACATGAAGAATAAGTGACCACAAAACATGGCATCCCAAACCCTGGTTTTGTCACACCTTTATCTCCCCAGTCACTGTTCCAGGAGTTTGCAGCCAGCCAGTAGGGCGTCTTATTCTCCTCCCCCCAACCGAGGATCTTGATGGCATGACCGCCCAGCATATCACCTGTCACATGCTGGTACACACCTACAGTAGAGTAGCATCGAGTGCAATAACACAGGCTTTAAAGGACAGCAGTGGTGTTTCCTCATCTTAACATCTATAAGGAATATTAAAATGTATGTCAACCTGCCAAAAAATCCCTACATTTATATTTTGCAGGACAGTTACACAAATTTAAGTTTACCTTTTCTTACTTATTTTTTTCTTGCTGTGTATAGAATACTTTTATCTCAATAATCCTTCAAATGCAACAGTCTGAGAAGGAAATATCACTCTTTGGTTGAATTGCTCACCCCTCATGTCCACAATAAGGCCTTAATATGTGATAAGGTGTCACGTATCGCTTCATTTTAAGGGCTCACAAGACCAAACAGTTGGGAACGACCAAACAGTTGGGAACTAGTATAGTAGGATTCAAATTTGGAAGACAAACAAGCTAACATGGTCGGCATAATGATAATGTGTCTTTGACAACGTATAAAACAAATAAAGCAGGTCAAAGAAGGTTTCAAGTTTCAATTGAAACTGCTTCAATTGTAGTAAATTATTTAGTTTTCCTGCCTGCAGGCATGCTGCCGTGTGTTGAGGAGAGGTTTCTGTGCAAACAGTATACAGTTTCAGAGTATAGTAGCTAGTCGGGAGACAAAGTCAATCCGGCCTCACCAGTCTTGTACAGCAGAAAATCTGCATATACAGAGAAAGCTGCCTCCACAGGCCCGTTCTTGTACAGCTCGGTCATGATCTGCTCCTGCTTGGATGGGACGCTGTAGGAGCTTTTGCCTGAATAGGGAGACACAGGAAACAAACGGATGTGTGACAGAGAAGCCACAGTAGGACGGGGAAGTAACTGGATCATTTAGGAGGTCTGTACCCAAGTGTTTGTCCTTCTGATAGGATGGCGAGTATCCATCAATGCACTGCTCTTCACACTTAGGAGTCTCCGTTTCGCCCTGACAAGGAGGACGAGTCCCATTCACGTGATGCTCACAGGAAGCAATGCTGTAGGGTCGGCAGCCTGTCAAACACGCCATTGTTTCAGCTCAGACTGTACTTCCTTTTAATTACTTCCTGAAAAGCTGTATAAACCCATCTCAGTTCACACTTACCAACGTTGGAGCCGTACAGGCCTCCTGTCACCAGCCCTTTCTTTGCCCAGAACTCCCAAGCAGCCGAGGGATAACCACCAAAACAGCTGCGTAAGACAAATAAAAACTCCATTGTTGTTTAACGTCCTCTTAAAAAGACCTGCCTGCGTGCATGCTGCCGTGTGTTGAGGAGAGGTTTCTGTTGCAATACTCACCCCATGCCGCATTCATCACAGCAGGACAGTAGATCTTCAGCAGAGATCTCCAAAGAGATCTTACCACTGCTGTGGATACATAACCTGTCGGATATCGCCTCCGCTGCCCCAAAGGCCTGTGGGAAATTAATCAAAGGGAACACAGGTTTAAGATATCTACTGGTTTCCCTCAACGGAGCAACTGATCTACCGCCGTTGTGTCTTTTTGTCGGTCTATCTCACCCAGCAGGACCCACATGATCCCTGGTCTCTGATCTGTTGGATGGTGGAACAGTTGGGCCACTGTTGGCGCGCGTCGAAGCTGTCTGGAAGCTTTATGCCCGCGGTACTGTGAACCCTTGAACAAGAGAGGACGGTCACTGAGTACTGCAGATTAGATGAACCTGCTGACTATCACCTGATGTAAGAAACTGCACACACACACATATATCCATGCCCACACACTCTCATACATGGTTAAACGTACACCTCTGGCAGCTTGGGTCCATTCAGTATAGTCCCACACAGTCCCTTCACATAGCTGATGTCGATGTTGTGAAAGTTCTGACCGGCCTGGAGCGAGAGTAGTGGAGTTAAAATGAGAGATTACAAAAATCAAAGTATTCATGACTACAATTTCCTCAGGTGGCCATATCTCTCTCTCTGCAGAGATAGTGACCAGAAATGCCCTGAATTTACTCACTGTCCAGGTGGTGTCGGCCTTGTTGATAAGCTCGACCATCTCTGAGGAGGCATGAGGAAGCTGAGGCCGAGCCTGTGTGACGGAGACCATCACAAGTACACTAAAGAGAGCCAGTGGACGCATCCTGCAAGACAGAGGACAGACAGACCTCAACATAATCACCTGGACTGCAGTATGTCCACCACTGCTCACAAGGGAGAGGTTTCCGTTTTATGAGACGTGACAGCGTTTTATGAGACGTCGCAGCATGAGCATCACGAGACTATGACAGTAAAAAATTAGGACACACTGGAGTCTCTTTTTTCTTCTCAAAATATGGATATTATTTGACATTTCTGTTGTAATTCAAGTAATATAATTTGAAGTTGGACAGAGTTGCACATACACAAAGCAACTCGTGAACAAAAGATTGCAGGTAATGTATTTATTTGTTAGCGTGTAACTTTATGCTTTTGAAGTTAAAACCAATTCAAAATGATGGCCTTGTTATATTTTCACTAGCTAGAAAATCAGTTGTGATTTTGTGGACTTAAATCACAACATATAGTTTGTGGTAAAATCAGACAAACAACTTTTTATTTATAAAACTATCAGAGAACAATCTCAGCTGAATATAAAGTATATTTGTTGGTATACTAACCTGCATTAAACCAGGCATACACAACATTAAACTCATTTCTTATTGACAGTCAACTCAAAAATAAAAATGTTATATACACCAAGTATCATTGAATATATAAATTGAATTGTGAATGACCCCTAAAAGAAAAAAACAACAAAATCTCCAAATATAAGTCTTAGCTTTTACCTGTGTTGCAGTTGTTTCAATGGACTTTCTTCGGGGGCAGTTATTTTCTCTCACTGAACAAAACACTCAATTCTTCCCATCCTTTTTATAAGCAGCAAGTTATGGAATCACATGTCCGGTAAATGAATGCATTGGCAGTTAACATCTCATGTGACCTAACAAAAGTGTCTTTCCAAAGGTAGACAGGTGATCTTAAAATGAAGAGAACATGTGCAACTTATAATTATCATAAACTTGATGGAAAATATTACTTTTTAATTATTTTTGCTTCATGTTGATGACACTATGATCTCTGCAAGAACACTCATGGGTCATCTCAGAAATATAAATAACACAAACGAAGAATCGTCCAATATAAAAACCTTGAAACCGTGCTGTAAAATGTAAAACAATATGATTTTAAAGTCTGGAATCTATAAATCATTAACTGGGTTCAACCCCACGATAATTATAATTTAATTTAATAATAATTAACAGGCTGTAAACCAAAGACTGACTTGTGTTGTTTACACAATCACCATTCAGACCGTTTCGATTCTTTCACTTCTTTATTGTGTTAAAATATGTACAAATCAAAATTACACATTACATAGCAATGTTTGTAGCTCTCCTTTGGTTCTGTACAAGGTTACTGTGTGCTAGCCTTTCTACTCACCAAAGCTGTGTTAAGGACACTTTAACTAGCCATCTCAGTATGCATTTATTTCAGACATCAAATGCACCAGAACTCATATTTGTTCTCATTCAAACAGTACATGTCAAAACTATGGAATAGCATTGTTCTTTTCTCCTATTTCAAAAGGAAACAGAAAGAACACGGACATTAAAGATGAATTATGAAGCTCTACCGTGAGTGGACGCTGTCCAATCAATGCTAACATGCAGCGCTGTAAAGGGCGCTGTTCTTTCATTTGAGTGATCCTCCTGTAGAAACAGGTGGAATTTATTTAAGTAGCTTTGTTTTGATATGAAAAAAAAAAATGAAGACTAAAATTTGACACAAAATTAAACAAAACCTTGATTTGACCACGGTTTGTAGACTGTGTTCCCCACACTCCTAAAATGGGCAGTGTCTTGTACTGTGCCTTTCACCACGTAATGGAGAAAAGTACTATTTGTCCAATGGCCAAATATGACGAATAATTTCACTCAATTAAAAAGGGTCAAATGTTAAACAACGCACAATCAACATAAACAGCAAACAGCAAAACGCCCTGAATTGTTTCTATGTGCTATTTATGCTGGTGAATATAAACACACATCAACGTGAACTCCTCCATATTAGGGCTAAACAATATTGTATCTCGAGAGAACATGATATTGCACCCGGGGATCTTTTTGAGCTAGTTGAAGGAGAGCATCGGCAGAAAACTCCACAGTTCAGTGTTCCATCTGTTTGGTGAAAAATGTTGGAAATAATTTCCTTTCGTTTTTATATTTCAACAAGAAATCTGTTGTGTCCTCAGTATTCTGAAAGCAGCAGAGTGGCAGAACTGAGTAACTATATCACTTTATTTATCGCAAGTAATATCTTCTTTGCGATATACAACATTATCACATATTTTCCTCATATTGTGAAGCCCTGCTGAACACGCCCGTGGTCCTGTGACAGCCGTAATGAAGAGAGACAAAGTGAGAAGACGTCCTTCAGATTCCTCCCATCAGAGGCGAACCGGACCTCCAGAGTGGGCAAAGGGGCTTTCTGAGTCTGTGGGCCCCAGGAAAAGGTGAGCGCAAATGGGTTCACTGTCCCTGCATGTCACCCGTGCCCTGTGCCTGTGCTGCAGTGGTGCTGAGGTACTGCCAGCTGAGAGCGGCGAGCAGCATGGCGGCAGACAGGTACATGGGCGACAGGTGGTGGGTCTTGGAGGGGAGGCTGGACTGTGACAGGGCGGACTTCTCTTTGATTAGAGCCAGGATGTGCAGGGTTTTGTCCCGCGACGGGTCCGTGTGGGAGACCTTCTGTACAATCTGCAGAGAGGGAGAGCCAGGCGGTTTGTGTTAAAGCGCTCCGATGTGGCGCCGAAATAGGACAGCAAACACACACAAAAACACACCCACCTCCTGGCTGTACTGGGAGATGATGGTCTGCACGGCGCTCATGTTGGTGGCTTCCATCATGAGTGTGACCGCCTGTCCCTTCCGGATCTTCACCACTCCCTGGAAAACCATGGGGTTGTTGTAGCATGACGACAGTGTAGCTATTGCCATCACCTGGTCAGGAAAGGTGTAACATTTAGTTAACTGGAAGAACTGAGAGAGAGACAGCTTCTAATGAAAAGTCTCTTGCGAGAGAACTATCAAACATTTTGGGGATTTCCTTAAATAACACCCACTAATCCTAATACTTGGGAAAGTCCCAGAAGAGATCAAGAACAAACATTGTCACTTATTCCCAGAATAGAAATGAACAAATCACAAGGAATTGGTTAAAAGACGATGATCTAATTACTTCCAAATGAAAGGATATTGTAAATGAAAAGTATAGAATAGAAAAAATAACCATGAATTCATATCTTTGAGGAAAGATGGGAAAATGGGTGAGGTATACGACACACAACATTTCTAATGATCCTTCAGTTTGATGTGGCAAGTAAACCACTGCATGTATCTATGCCAAAGTCATTTATCACTTCAGTGCACTCTATCCTATGAATTCCTATTTATGTAATCAGTTTTATTCTTTCCTCTCTTCTGTCCCCTTTATTATTCTTTTTATCTTGTCTTTTTCATATGCTCTGTAACTATATAACTTCTTAAAATTTGTATTTATCATTATCTCATATATCTGAATATATTAGAGGACAAAAAGCTAACGGCACACTAATGGGCTGTTCAATTATTAGGTCATATAAATCAAAATCACTGCATTGTTGGAACTCGGTAAGTAACGACTCAGCGGTTACCTGTGGAATGGCGCAGAAATTGAAGACGCTCTGGTTGCGCAGGCGGGACAGGTAGGCGATGACATCCGGAACGTGTCGCAGAGCATCGGTGACCAGCAGGTTGAGACAGGAGAGAGCCGACTCCAGCTTCTCCGGCTGGGCCAAGTCCTCCAGACGGCCTGCAAACTGACTCCAAGCCTGCGCGGGGACACAAGCTATTAACACATCACATACGGTACATATGTTTTTAAATCAATACGCACATAATGAATAAAAAAGGTGCACCAGAAGTTACATTAAAAAACATTTCACGAAGCACGATGGAAATGAAAAACAGAGTACAGTATTCAGAAGCATTTTCTCATAACAGGACAAAGGAACACGTTCTTACCTCTTGTGGCCAGAAGGCCCGTCCCTCCTTTGTGTCCTCTAGATAGTCCCGGATGATGTTAGTCTTCTGGAGGAACAGGCCCATGGAGTTGGCCAGCTGGGTGTCGTGCCCCACCTCTGGGTCCTCCAGCTGGGACGCAGAGAACAGCTGAGACAGACCGATACCGACCAGCCCGGCCACATAATGGCAATACTGCACACAGAGAGTAAGACAAGGCAACGTGGCGTCAGTTGTTATTGTCACAGCATGGTATGTATGACAACATGCTTATGATTAAACACACACAGTTACTGAAATAACCATAGGTGCTAATTAAACATCTATTCAACATTGTCAGAGATATGGTTCATTTATTTAGTTAGGTTTATAGGAAGTTTTACATAGTGTGTGGTAATGCTTGATCAAACTTAAGCTACCAGAATGACTGAAAATACACTATTAAGACAGAAAGAAGCTGCAGAGATACATGTTAATAACAACGTATTTTCCTCCCAACCAAAGAGACTCAATAGTATCTCATAGTGCTCTAATCTGCTAATCATCTCTATAAGGTACCATAAACAGTGACAGAGATCTGTTTGTGTTGTTAAGTTGTGTATTTGTTATTGACATTCAAACACATATCCCTGTAGAGTGTCTAACATCTTTTTGCTGTCATCTTAACACAATTGTAAAACCAGGTTGACGTTTACCTGGTCCCACTCCTTCATGGATCCCACTTTCTTTTCCAGGAATTCGGCCATTCCCACTCCCATTTTGTGGCAGATATCCGAGATGACGTCTCTGTATTCCTGAGCCAGGTTTCTGAATTCCAGTGATATCTGGGTTGCAAGTACAAATGAAGATTAGAGATACGGATTTATAACAGCTATTAATCTGAGCGACAAAGATTTCACTTGAGACATTTCTTCACATGCTATCACACCAACTTAACAACTCAACTCTGTCATTAACACGGTATATTATTCTGTTATTGAGTAAGAAATAGTCATCAGTAAATTAAGCCAGCAGAGCCTTAATATACCTGCCTACTGCATGTCATTGTACCGCCATGCAGTGCTACTGACCGTGGGGAAATCAGCCAGAACCTGTCGGTCTTTCTCCTGGCTCTCGGTGAAGCGCCACTCATCCTGGTACAGGTAGGTGTGAAAATCATTCAGCATGGGAACCTTCTTGTTCAAAGGGATGGTCATGTCGTCCTCCACTGTGTCCAGCGCTCGCAGCACCAGGTAAAAAATACAGACTGCATGTCTGGATCAGAAGGACAGGAGACCACTTTAAAACAACACAACAGGAAAAATCTCCTTCCCGAATGTCTGGGTCAAAAAGCATTTATTTTTTTACGACTGACATTTTTAAGTCATCATCCAAGTAATTTATCAAGCAATAATCCCAAACATTTGTTGGTTCCAGATTCTCCAATGCAATTATTTGCTGCTTCAGTCTGTTTCATATCAGGGTAAATTGAATGTTGGGGGTTTTATCTGTTGGTTAGGCAAAAGCAATTTGAAGATATCATCTTGGGCTCCAGATATGCCTGTAAAGACTGTGATCAGACATATTAATAGATTAATAGGCAATGAGTTGCAGCCCTAAGTGACATGTTATATTGTGTAATTGCCAGAAATAAAGAAATATTGATAAGAGATGTCACCACTAATTTACATTTGAATTGTTACTGGTATACTCATTAAGTCTCTAAAAAGGCTTGGGTCAGCCATGGGTTGCAGTGCATTTTGCTTTATTGAGGCTATATTAGCTATTGATGAGCTATCTTTGTGTTTTGCTACCAGACGTTCTCGTGTCTTTACAGGACATGCCAACATTTAGTTGTTGACTCTTTCCTAGAGTAATGCATCCAATGCACACATGTCTGAACTGTTCATAGTAAAATAAAACATGTGCAGAAATGGGAAGCAACCCCAGCCAACGCCCCAGGTTATGCCCTTCACGAAAGAAAACATGCATGCACACCCCCATGCAGCCAGCTTTTACCCACCTCAACTCCCCGTCCAGCGCTTGGATCACAGCTGCAAAACTCCGGCTGGTTTGGTTCAGGTACAGATAGCAGGTCCGCAGACTCTCACTCATGGACTCCTGGTAGGAGAGACAGAGGAAGCCCGTGCGTCGGTAAAAGCCTGCGGGTCGGAGGGCGCTGGAGGGTCGGGCGGCCTCCTGCAGGCCCCGCTCACCTAGCCTCCAGCCCAGCAGGAGGGGCCGAGGAGCGGACCCGCAGCCCCGTGGTGCAACCGAGAGAGAGCGCTTGAAGAAGGACAGCGAGACCGGACACTTGCAGCAAGCTCCGGCCATGCGAATAACCTGATAGCACGACCGACCCCGCAGCTATAACGCGACTCTGAACATGTCGACGCCACGGCTGGTGGGGAAGTTTGAAACATGTAGGCTAGAGGACACACGAGCTGAGGGGTCGAGTGAGGGGGAAAACGCTTAGGGGGGGACGCCTGGGAGAGCTAAATCAAGCGCTCCGCTGACCTCAGAACAGTCTCACCTCACTGCGTAGTCGAGCAGGGTCTCTGCACAGAGTTTGTTGATCTGCTGTGATCTACGTCGCTCCTCCCACCTCTACCCATAACAACACCAGCGGGCTATTTCATAATCGGCTTCTTCTTCTACTACTTTAACTGCATAACTCAATCCACTGGTAATATTTAACTGTTTAACAGTAAGTGTGGAGAAAATGAACACAATGACACCCGTACTAATGCAGGAACACGTATAAAATGTGACTTATGTTTTGCACCAGCGCATGCTCTATTCCCAACCACGTCATGTCTCTGACGCTGCAATCACATGATCAGCACTGAGCCAATAATATGAATGCCGATCATGGTGTCAACTCTCTGCTCAGCTTGCCTGTATTTCAAAATAAGAGCGCAGTGTTAAACAAGATAACTTCACCCAGCGTTAAAAAAAAAAGAAATTATTCAGACTGCTTTCAAAGAACCAAATTAGCTAGATGGGAATAAACAGGATTATTTGAACTTGATGAAAGCAGGTTGGATTTGAGGATTAGAATTCGAGAGTAAATTAAACCACATTTGCAGAACAGGACCATGAGGTGAGAGAAGCTATTTGGGGAAGTTGCTACGCATGATATACATGTATCTCAGGGATGTCTACGTACAGGTGTTATAGTAAAATATTTGACCTGCCTATACTGAGTGCTCTACTATAAGCAAAATGAACTACTAAAGAGTCACTAGTCAGACCATGATTCTCTCTCTCTCTCTCTCTCTCTCTGGGTCACATTGGTGTTAAAACACAGGGATTATCCGTGAAAAATCCCCGCCGTTGTTGAACCCTCCAAGCTCCTTATGTAACGTAAATCCCAAGTCAATGGTCGTATCAGCTTGTGTACATCTGAGCCAACACAGGAGTGAGAGATCTAATTAGTTCAACGAGCTGACTGTTATTACCATTTAGGTCAATCCATTACAATGCAGCCTGACTGTTAATGTGAATTTCCGTGTTGCTACAGAATAGCGGTCTGTGGTCTGTTAAAAGGGGGACATCATGTGCTACTTGATCCAAGAGGCAAATCTGTAAATGCAACCATGTATGTATCCATCTTGCATGCTGCGTTCACACTCATCTGACAAGTTTATTCTCAGTATAAAACGGAGGGTTTACTCACATAATCCAACTTTCCCATGAAGCCTCTGTATCCCCCCATTTTATATTTGAACAGGTTGAATATCTCTTCCGGGTGGCCCAGTGACTTCAGGATGTCCATGTTGCTTCGGGTTTTCAGCTGTTACTCTGACAAACTGATGTGGAGATTTGTGCTGGAGAGATGTTCCTCATCAGAGTGACGGCAGGGAAGTCGCCAGATCGACTGACGCCTCTGATTGGTTGGCGAGTCATGGGCACAGGGCTCGGTGTCCAATGAGCGAGCAGAGGTCTGGTGTGATGCTCCGCTTAAGCGGACGGTCAGTGGAGCGCGGCTTCTGATTGGTCCGTCATTCATCATGGGACTGAGAGCTACCTATTGATCACCAGTGTGTTCAAACACTGTCTAAATTATTTTATCATTCTAAGCTTCATTTTATACATAAAGGTTATTGTCATTTTTAGGATTGTTTATTAAATCCTTAACATGAAAGTAACTTCAAAAAAAAAAGTGTATTACATATAATGAATTGGAGCACTACATATACTATGACGATTTTAGCAAATGGCTGCAATGAAACAAAGAGTGAAAAATTTAAAGGGGTCTGAATACTTTCCGTACCCACTGTATTTGCATGCCATTGTCTTAAAGCGACACTGCCTGTACATGATTTCCTCCATTAGCTGACAAAATTTATCAGAAGCCACATGAAAGCACAAAGGAGATTGATTACAGTTTGCTGTGTTGTTGCTATAGACGCAGATAGCCACAGGCATCAAACCTCCCCGGTTGATGATCAGTTCAAAGTGGTTGTAATATCACCAGATGTAATTTTGTCTCACTCAACCATAACTTTTGCTGTGTGCCTTTTGTGTTTCTATCCATTGCGCAATGTTGGATATACTATTTACTCCAGTTTTATTATTGCACTCATACTTCACAGATCAGATAGATAGTAGAAGTCAGTGTGAAAACAAACAAAACCCTTTTGAACATAAAGAATGAAGTGTGTTTAAAACAATAGCACACTTTTCTATATATTTGATATATTCTCTTTCACAGCGTCGGCATTGTCATAATAAATACAAACACACACATTGTTTAGACAATAGAATGACTCTTTCAGTTAATTGTGCAATTACATCTAAATGGATTTCACTCAAGGGCACACGGTTATGGACCGCAGCCAACATCCTAAACAGTATTTGCATCACATTCCAGCTTCCATGAATGCACGTGACTCATAAAATGAACCAGAAGAATGTCATACATTGCCATTTGTCTTCTACTTTTTTCACTTTGTAAGGCAAAACTAAAATCTCCTCTGCAACCTTCTGTGAAATTGTTAATCTGGTGGGGAAAAAAGAGATAGTTTAGGATACCACAAGACAGTTGATGACACACACACAAGCTTGGCAGAAAGAGGCAATACATCAACAGACTGATGATATCTACATGGCCGTGAGCATTACCAAGAGGAGGAGCTCAGTGCTGAAAGTCACAAACTCTCAAGCAGTTCCAGGTAAACGTGTTGGAAGTGCAACCCACCAGCTCTCGCTTGTCACACTTTGTTCATCAGAGCTGTTTCTCTTGTAATCAGGACACCAGTGAGCTACGCTGCATGTACTCGACTGACCCGACAAGAGAAAAGAGGAGATACATTTCAATTGAAGTGGATTCCTGAAATACCAGGGCGAAGAAGTCTGGTTTGTATTTCTCATGTGAGTAAACTCAGTTCTTACTTTGACCAAAAACATCTCCTGTTTGACCTGAAAGGGAGGTGACGAGACTTTTCCTTGCATCCTCATAGTGTCTGACTTTTTTGCTGAATTTGCTGAAGGCATTACATAAGCTCTTAAGTTATTTTATTCTTTCAGCGAAACCATCAACTAATGTTGTCCACAAATGTCAAACGAAACCAAACAGTATTTGGTTCATTTCAACAGCCACTGCACATACATCATTCTCTGATCCCACATGACAATCAGCTAGTTTTTGTTCAGGTTGAGCCGTAAACAACCTCTGTTTAATGGATATGAAAAGGAGCCTCCGCTGTGCTCAAAGAAATGTCTTAAAAAACTCTGCAGCACAGATGTGAGACTGACAGAGACACAGAGTGTGTATATACATACTTACAGGGTATATATGAAGTTCATACGTGGAGTGAAACTGATGTCTTAAGCGACGTGTTTCAACAGGAAAGTCGAGGTTTATTTATGCAGCTGGGTTGCTTTAGGACAGTGGGTATTTCAGGTGACACATTTTTTATTTCTTCTTAGTCATGCCGCAAAAGCGTCAGAGTAACAGTGTTACAGTATGTCATATATGCTTCATATATCATTATGTTACCATTGTTTCACATATTTCCCACAATATAATCACGGTATATACTGTATATATTTCAACCATATGCACATATAACAAGCCAGTGTGTAGGGTTTAGGGGGATTTATTGGCAGAAATAGAATATAAAATTATTAATTTTGTTTTCATTAGTGTATAATCACCTGAATCTTATAATGGGTCCTTCCTATCTGCATAGGGAGCAGGTCTTCTTCACATAGTCCACCATGTTTCACATTTTTACGTTACCTGCAGGCCACTGTGGTTCTCTGACAGGAATGAATAAGGAGTGGGGAGCGGAGGGGTATTTAGTTGAAATGCAACCTCACCTCTCCCACACGCTGCTCTTTTATGGACATGAGAGTGTATCTGTCCTCCCATCTAACTGCATGAAAGCACTTAACTGAAACTGTTACTTTAAAAATGAAACCAAAATTGTTATCAATTGTCTACTTGGACTTTGTGTTTTGGAAATTTCAAAAAAATATTCATAAATGACACCAGTTTGACTGTGTTTTTGTTGTATTCGCCCAAACTTCAGGACGAGCTGCACACCTGAAGCCTGTGTGAATGGAGGGACAAAAAACACTGTCTGACACCGGGAGCTTATTTGAGCAGATGTCAGCCTGGGCTGACACACAATACTCTGTGAAGAAAGTATTGAAACATCTCAACTTCAGACAAGCCAACGATGACATTTCACCCAATGAGTCTGTCAACAAGAAGTTTTTGGAGTTTCACCGTGACATCACCGAGGAATGTGGTGCAGAAGATAAACAGCATTCATGGGCCGTTATTGAGAAACAAGAAGAGATTGTCATGTACGGACCATATTATCCTAATTACAACAACGGAGAACACAGCGAGGACATCATTATCAAACAAACGCAGGAACTTCTAGAGTCAGAGTCTGTCTCAGAGGAATGGAAGGTGTATGTTTTCACCATGAACAGCCCGTGTTTGGCTAGAAACACGAATGCATGCATGCTGAACCTGGTCCAGAAAGCTCTGGAGTGGTGGAGCGTGTATGGAGTAAAGACGCATATTGGTTATTTGAAATGCTGGGGATTCAAAGGAACTAAAGAAAATCTGTTCAAGGATATTACCTACAGCCAAGTGGACTGTATGGATCAGAGTGAGGACCACAAGAGCTACATTAATGCAGCTGAAAAGACTGAAACAAATCCTTTATGTGAAATTGTGTTTACTGCTGTGAAACACCTCCTGAGATCTGCCAGTTTTGCTTTGATAAACATCGTGCAGGGGCAGGACTGGAAGAGTTGCTTTAAAAATCTGCACAGTATATTTGAAGAGAATATACCAGAAGAGAAGAAACAAATCTGCACACAGGAGGCAAACACTGTGATCGAGGCTGCACAAGTTCTGCTTTCAGAAAAAAGCGAAAGTGTTGAGGAATATTTAGAAAGAGGATGTGCATTTGCACTTGACTTTGCTTTTAGCTCACAATTATCTGACGCCATCCAGGATCAAATGAGGCTCACGTTTCAACACTGCTGGAAGGAGATGGTGCAGGGCAAATATGCTGAGCTCATCAGGGAGAAGCTGACTGAAGACTTCAATCAATGTACCGTCTGGCTTTTCATCAGAGATATTGCAAAGTTCACGAATGAATACTTAGAAATTGGAAGGATACAGTTTTCAGAAGAAGCTCCACAAGTTGTCCGATAACCACCCTCTTCGCAAAGATGATGAAGAAGCCAAGACTGCATATATATATCACACACGTTTGGTTATGGAGTGAATGACACCAAACTTTTATATCATACATACCATTTGCATCATGTCAAAATGCTTTGTCTTTATTAGTTTCCTCAGTGGAGCTACAGTTGCACACAGAGGAAGGGCATCAGGTAGTGTTAGTGCACACTGAGAAAGTCCACATGTACATCTCTCACCGTGTCTTTACTTACAATATAACTCAAATGGTGTATTACAATTATACTGGAGTGGAGTTGTTTACATATATGCTGATATATTTGTTGGTAATTGCATGTGTCGATATCTCACGTTGACACATGTTGCCCCGTGATTGTCACAAGCAAATTAAAGCATTGAGTATTGGCAATAATCTGTACAGTTTTGATACAATACACCGACATAAAGTCAAACAACCTTCAGCTTATATGAGTTAGATGACTGTGTGGTTTGGGGCTGTGAAGTTCATAATAAATACTAGCAGGATTAAAGATGATTAAGCTGTTTTATGGATGCACATCTGCTCTGGTGTCAGCAGAGGGAACTATATGGACAATTACTTCCATCCACATTCATCATGTGCAACTTGCTTGCTGCATAGGTAGTTTTTCATGTATTTTTTCATAGAAGTGTCCACACTGACATGTATTTATTTTACATTTAAAATCAAGAAGGCACACAGTTTAGGACTGATCCAGGAACAAAAAGCTACCAGGGAACTGTTTCTATTGCACTGAGTGGGAGATCGTGTTTACTGAAGGTCATTTCTCAGGAGTTGAGGAGTGATGGATGGATGTGTTACTGTAAGTTTATGATAAATGCTCCTGATTAGCTTTTCTCTGTGCAATTAGATGAAATGTCACCTGTTCTTTACAATCATTGGTATCACATATAAGTGACCGTAATCAGTGTGTCAATTTTGGGACGTGTGTAAAGGGTCAGTTCACCCGGATTACAAATCACATACATATTATTTTTGTACCCCCACTGGTATTTAGTTTTGCCGTTTTATTTGCTTAAGTTTTGAGATATTGCTGGTGAGACTGAGCCGCCCTATTACTGCTGAGATGACTGGATGTTTGTGTGTGGTGCTAAATTAATCCTTTAAAAGACATAAGAGCAACGTGCTTTACCAAATAATATACTGTACATAATCTAAAGACAGCATCACGTTTGAACAGTTTAAATCATCTACCAAACGTACAAAATACTGAAAACTGACCACAGGGAGGTTGGTTGTAACCGGCCCATTGTTTGTTCTGTAAAGAGCTTTTGGCTTTTTAAAATATAATTTTCATTCTTCTCCATTGTACTGTGATTTCATATCTGGAGGAAAATACCATATGAAAGTGTGAAGATCTAGTAGTTGTTTTTCTTATTGTGAGCTGACCCTTTGACGTTTGACATTAAGGTGTGCTGTTGTGATTATTTTCATGATTTGTGTGTTCATCATTGTTTTCAGCAAAACTGTCCCTAATGATATGAAATTGAAAACAAATATATTGGAATAAAAATAACTCGGGGAGATAAAGACTGGTCATCAATGTTATTGTTACTGGTTTATGTTACAGTATCTGTTCCTTTTGCTCTGAGACTGAGGCACTGGCTGTGAAGATGTTTTGAGTTTTTTTTGTGGCATCTACTGGCATGGTAGAGTGACCAAAAAAAAGTTTTCACATCAAGAGTTGTTTAATCACAGTGCTGCTCTTTAACAAACTCCATTCAGTCCATCCATCGCTGCGGTTCGAATGCACAGTATCTGTGCCCTTCTGTTAAAGATCTCCATTTCTGTCGTGCCGCCCAAACATTTGTCCCAAAGCGTTGCACTGAAGACACTGAACGGTGTGGCGGCTGCAGGAACATCTGCATCCAAGAGCGGCAGTCTGCTTCCTGGAGACGCTTGTCTCTCTGGAGAGTTTAATCGGTACGGTTTGAAATGCTGTGTTGCACGTCTTCTAGGCCAGGATGAGGTTGTTCCAGGGCTCAGCTTTGGAGCCAGAAGACACGCCGTGGCCCCCAGGGGACATCTTGAGAGGAATGGCCCCGCCTTGAGCTGCCATGTAGGCTGGCAGAGCTGAAATCTAGAGGGATAGAGTAGAAAATGGTGAGAAGGCCAGTACGGGAATCTGTCACGTGATCTGTCCTTCATAAATGGAGACTTTGACCTTTCCTTTCATTGTCATATCAGTTGGCATGTGGGATAAATATCAATATAATACATGCAAAACAATACTCTATATTGTACAATCTGGGTCATAATAATTATGTCTCAACTGTTTTATCCTAATTTTAAAGGACATTTTGGGCCTTGTCATTTGGCCTTTATTTCTGGGCTTATTAGGTTCTAGCTGAATGTGATGAGCAATGAGGGTCTGTACCTCTTTCATCATCACAATTACAGACTCTAATGTACAGACTCACAATTACCGATGTAAAGATTCTCTGAAATTTGACTAAAAAGGTGTCCAACCTGTGCGTGTGCACTGTGGTGTGTGTACAAGCTGTGAGTGTCCGGTTCTGTCTTTATCTGTCGAGGCTCCTCAGTGGTGGTGGAGGCCCTGGGAGTGCTGCTTGGCGTGACTGGAGTCCCATCACTGCCTGGGGTCCCTGCGGAGCACCAGAACTGAAGTCATTACACATTCACAGATAGTCTTAGCTACAGTATGATCTTCTTAATCTAATATCTATATCTATTATCTACATATCTACACGAACCTAAGCGCATGTGGTTTTGAAGCTCACCAGCTTGGGACTTGTTGAAGTTTTTGGGTTTGCGTTTGCGGGTCTGGATCCCCTCTTTCTTCATGGCCAGGGGTCGTGGTACCTGTCAAGACACAAGAACAAATAAATAACCTTTATCCGTCAACAGCAGACATAAGTAGGAGAAGTGTTGCATCCATGGAGGCTGGCGAGAAAGAAATACTTATAGGGTGTGTTCAAGATTCAGAGGATCCACTCATTTCTAAAGATACATTTTCAAAAAGAATGTGAATGATCCGTTTTAATTTAAAGTACAAATGTTCTTTACGTGGTTGTATACAAGATTTCAGCAGTAGCAGAGATGCACTTACCCCATGGAGTTTCATGTAGAGGCCACAGGCGTTGCAGACCGGCTCTCCCTCTGCGTTTCGTCGCCACAAGGTGGTGGTGGTGGTGTGACAGTTGGTGCAGGACAGGCCAACCCTCCTCGAGGCAGACTGCAGCATATAAAATATGTCAGAGTTCTATGTTAAAAAAAAGGAGAAAAACTAAATGCATACATTTTCCCTGAGGTATACTGCAGGTGAATTTATCGTCCATTAACACACTATAAATTGCTTCACTGTCACGGTACAAAAGTGCTCCACTGTCACCCACCAGCCGTCGTTGAGGTTTGATAAGAGGTCTGTTGATGCCATTCATCTTGTGGTACAGTCCGCAGGCATTGCACAGGTAGTGGCCTGTACCATCCCGCCTCCAGAGGGGGGTCGACATCGCCCCGCAGTTCACACATTCTCGCCCCTCAGCAAAGTCATCAAACAGGTCTGATGGAGGAGGACAAGAAAGAAATGATGAGCTAAAACAACGTCAGTTTTTCTCTTCCCTTCAGCCTGATCCGGATTGGACAGTAATCTGCACAACTCATGTCAAAAGTTCTTTAACCCTCATAACTGAAAAATGCATCCTGGTCAAGTTGAAGCCACAGCTGTTTTTCTGAAAAGTTGGTGTTATATTGATAGTGTTTTAGCAATGAGTTGGTAAACATAATAAAACAGTTGCTATGAAAGAGTGAAATAAATTGCATTGCAAAGAAAATTCCACAGAATTCTTATTGTATCATTTTACAGATCAAACTGAGCTTAGAGAAAATAACTTTCAGCAGAGCTTATGCCACATAAAAATGTTCTCCACCCTCCTCAATAAACACTTTCCTGCTCCGTCAAACTTGGATTATCAAATGCAGAGGCATCTCTGCACCAGCAGGAGGTGCAGGCTGCAGTCTCACAGGCCCACACCACAGCAGACTGGAATCCCTCCTTATCTCTCACCTCGGACAGATAAAGAGTCGGCTGGAAATATAGACGGAATAGAGCTCCATCATATTCAAATAGAGACTATGTGTCTATATCTCTTTCCCCCTCTCTCTCTCTCTCTCAGTTAGCATGACATCTCGTGCAATGTTGCACATATCTCTGAAGAACCACTTAGCCTTTCAGGGGAAGGAGGCATCAATCAGTGGTTTGATAGCGACAGTAAAAGTGACTATATTTATCTACGACTGTGAGGTTTGCTGAGAATAGATTGAGGAAATGTGCAAAACACTAACACATTAACTGTAAAAGCCATATTTAAATCAGATTATTTATACACTCCACCGGCATATTTATTATAAATATGTAAAATAAACAAAAAGTATGAATCTGGCCTCCGTCTGCTCCTCCCTCGCTGCAGTGTGACTGATATATATTATGCAGGCCTCCTCCAAGGCTGAGAGCAAAACAGACACATGCAGGGCAAGCTGACCTTGAGCCATTTGCAGCCAACACAACGCAGCAACACAAGACAATACACAAAAGAAACGCTGCAGTGTCCGTGCGTCTATCTAAATGGAGGTTTCTTTTTTTTCCACTGCGTAAATGTCAGTGTGTGTCTTTATCAGGGGACGCTGACACTTTAAGCGGACAAAGGTGAAAACAACTGTGATCATGTGAAGACTACATACGTGTCCTGCAGAGGTTTTAATGTGTTTTTCATTTGTCACAGTGGTGACGGTTAACAAGGTGTTACAGTGGCAGCATCTAAAAGTATATACAACTTGTTTATTTGATCAGCTTTATACATATTTATCTCCTTTTCTGAGACATCACACTTACACAGGACCTTTTTCGGCTGTGGTCACTAATGACATTTGAAGATACTGTATATACAGACTTTACATGCAAAGATATATCATTAATATACAATATATAATAATAATGGAGGGGCCTTTCTCAATGCCGTAGAGTAACTTAGTAAATTGTACTGTCGTCTACCAAAATTCAAGTTTAGTTCATTTCCGTTTTATGCAACTTTATGCACTTCTTACTCCAAATTGATTTGACAAATGTAGTTACACATTTAGTTTTAAAGAAAAAACATAAGATGAGTGTTTATGAAATGTATAAACAGATTATGAAATAGTTTAAATTAGCTCCAGCATCCAAGATTAAATTCTGCTGACAAATTCATGTCGCAGGAATAATATTGTAATGATGATAAATATATTAGTGTAACACTCAGATTATTTTTTTCTGTTGAATACTTTCAGGTTTGATACTTAAAGTACATTTCTTTAATAATAATATAAAGTTTTATTAAAAACATTTTCACTACAGGAGTTTATTTGTTTTTACATCCTTGTAATTGCTTGTACATAACTATTGTTTTATATTTCATACATTTCATCCTGACTGCTTTTTAAATTTGACTTTACTCTATTTATTTTATATTTGTATCCACCAAATGCTAACTTAACTGCAATAATATGTATGTGTCACTTAGTTGGCAACATGATGAAAATACAAAACTTTTGAACTCATCAGTTGGCTTTTTTTATTTTTATTCCAGGTAGAGGAAGAAGCTTTGTATGTGGGGGAGACCTCCATCACTGCCAGGGTCCTGTCAGAGTGGCAATACAGATATAATGCCTTATAAACTAAAGTTATAAAGATTATCCAATGAAACACGTGATAGTCTTGGATCTCTTGTCGTCAAATATATGATTTGGCTGTTTACATACTGTTAATAATTTTCCAATTTAAGTAAGTGAGTCATTGAGATGTTTCTGGAAAACAAACTATAAGGCTTCAATAAAAACTCAATTCAAGAGAATTTCAAACAATTCAAAAATATTGTCACAAATGTTTTGAAGAATTGAAGTTTAGAATTTACGCTGATGTTTATTTTCTTCTTTCACTGACTGAGAAGAAGAAGTCAGAGCTTAGTTAGTTCACCAACAGAACCAACAGAACAATAGAGACTGTCACTGAACGGCTCACGGCCACTTCATCAAACACTGAGCTTTGATTTCGTTTGACGTGAGTGTAAAACAATGAGTTTAAGCCTGAAACATCTCTAAAGAAATGCAGTGAGTAAACGGGCTCAACACCGTGATTTGATTGTGATTGTAATCAAATGAATAGGTCAGTGTGGATCAATGCTGTTATCTGTCACACTGTTTCTGAATCAAACAGTTAAAAGAGGCCATTCAAATGATCATCACACAAAACATATTTAAGAGCAGTTTGTCAGACAGAAAATGGAAATGCACAAACAAAGTAATCAGCTGTCAGCTGTTAATAAGATAATACTAATAATAAGTGATAATAAGTCTAGTAATGATCCGGCCCTTCAGATTAGGACGAACATGTAGATAATGGAAGAAACAGGAGCCAAATAAACACAACGCTGATTAATAATAGACTGGAAGATGCAAATAGTCATTGAAACAACTGACAAATGAGCAAAATCAATGTGTTGGAATAAGGTCCAGAGTTCAACCAGCAGCTATAGATTCAAATCAGTACATAAAGTTATGGGCTGACACAAAAGCTATGTATTTGAATAAAAAGTGGTTTCACTGTATCTAAAACAATTGATTTTTGATGAGGGTGTGAGGAATCTGATTCTGCTGCTGATCCGGATCAGATTCTTCACACACACTTCTAATCAAATCCGGCCTCACACACAAGGCCACAATCAAACAGCAACCCATAAACCATAATCCATACAAACTGTTATCAATTCAGGCTCAGTTAATTATTCCTTTCTAACACTCCAGAATGTGATTTGTGAAGATAAACCAAACACGTGTATTATATGTTATTTTAAGTTTGATTTGGGTTTGTGAGGCTATTAAATTAAATTATATTATCATTTGTCATTAATACTCAATACTGGCCTATTTCATTCATGAAGGGAATAATCATACAATTTGGTATTTGAATTCAAATGTATATGTTTCTAAAATGATACATTTAAAATAAAAGTCAAAATGAAGTAAGCATGAATGAATTTCACTCAATGACGTTATTTACTTGTTTCTGTAAAATGTCACCTCAAGGCCCATAGAATCAGAAACAGTGAGTGTGTAGTAAATAAAGTAAAACAAAGCAGCAGTAAGACTTTCAAATAACCGCATGATAAACGAACCTCTGGTTGAACTAACTTCTCTTTTAGGAATACAATTTGCCAAATATAACATGATTATGAATAACAGTCGTGCTTTCCATTTCATAATAACAGTCACGAAAATGACACCACTGAATTAAAAACCGCGTTATTAAAAGAAACAAAAGGTGACAATCAGCCTTTAATCGTTCTGCAAGCTAGGCGCTCGTGAATTGATGACCACATCACAGTATTGATCTCACGTGGTAGATGCAACTTTCTATTCGTCCATGTTTTTAGTCTTGTTTTAATCAAATAGAGTTTCATTTCAATTGGAAGTTTTAGACATTTTCGTTCAGCGGAAGTTTGATGAACAATAATACATTGTCATTGTCAGCTCTTTAAAAAAACTAATTAGGGGCAGACCTTTGAACGTACCTCGTAATACAAGGACGTCTAATTGATTCGCTTTATAGTCTGTGGTTGTGTGAAATACTCTTGTTGTAGTATTGTATCATTGTATTAGCGTATGGATTTATTTGTAATTTTAAAATCATAATTTGAATAAATCTGGTGTGTTTAGTGCGTTCTGTCAGCTAATAAACTACATGCATTAATCTTGATGGCTTTTAATTGATAGACTATTTCTATACATGCGGACTAAACATTAACCTCACTTGCATATTTTCTTTTTCTTTTTCAGGAGAATACTTTTGTTCTTTTAACAAAAACGTAGTTTTTTCAGGTCTGGCAACCTTTCACCTCATTCATGTTTGTTTTTTTATGGTCATAACAGTAGACCTATTGTCATTAATCGTTCACAGATAAATAAAAGGGACTTGCTTCTCTCTCTTTTTTTAGCGGATTTGCACTTATTTCTTGTTGTGGTGACAGTGAAGCTGATCGTTTGAAATTCTTTACATTTCTGTCTGGATGACAGAATTTCAAAAAGTCAAAACACATTTTATTGTGCACAAAATATAGAAATGCTAAATTTAAAATGTCTTGCTCACCTATGTTTGGGTGCCGTGTTGTGCCATGAGGAGCACCGGTTTGGAGACCGTGGAGGACCGGGCTATCAAAGTGGGACGCAGGCCACGCTCCACCCACGTTCGGGCTCATGTAGGCCGGGTAGGGGCTGTGATACGACCCGCTGAGGCTCCGGGCGCTGTAGTGTTCCCTCCCGTTGGCAGAGATGTTTAGCGGGCTGCTGTAAGAAGCCACCGTGTCCCGGGCCGTGGCCACCCCGGAGGACAGAGGCGGGCTGGTGGAGAAGGCGAAGCGCGGAGACACCGGGGAGTGGTTGTACGAGGGCACCGTGTCGGCGCACGGCTGCACCCAAGCTGAGTGGCTCGACGCGGGGCTGCTCTGCTGCGACGCACCGGGCGTCTGGAGGTAAGGCAGCGCCGGCATCATGGGGGTGACGACCCGGGTGGTGGGCACATAAACCGGAGAGGTGCCCGTCGAGGCGTTGTGCAGAAATCCGGCCTCATAGGAGTGGGGTCCGTGGTTGGATGTCATTATGCCCTGATACATATCCTCTCCTTGAAGCTGGACATCCGTGTTGATAGAATGGATATTGATAGTGTGGATGCCGTTACGCACAGGACTGTTGAGTATAACGCAAATACATATGATTAAATACAATCTGCGAGGCTCTGTCGTCCTAATTAATATCAGATCTGCACCCAAGAGGTGAAGCCAAGCAAACGCAACAATCAGAAAATTAAGAATAAACTGAGAGAAGAGACACGAGAGGGTGGAGGCGGAGTGAGAGACTGGGATCAAGATCCAGCATCTCTCTCTCTCTTCCTCTCTCTCTCTCTCTCTCTCTCTCTCTCTCTCTCTCTCTCTCTCTCTCTCTCTCTCTCTCTCTCTCTCTCTCTCTCTCTCTCTCTCTCTCTCTCAAACCAAAAACATGTGAAAATAATTTAATCAAAGTATATTTTTAAGTATATTTTATTCTAGATAGCTGAAGCTCCTTGGCTTTGTTATCCCATTATGTCCCTCCTGCCTGCTATGTTCAATAAAATCGATTGTTTTTCGTTTGTGGATTTTGGTGATTTTTTAAAATAAAAAACGAACTTTTTATTTTCATCTATGAATTAAATTAATTTGAATAAGAACCCTTTACAGTATGTTTATTGGATTCACTGTTACAGGCAGATCAGTCTCAATATCTGTCATAAACAACTTTAAAATATCTGTAAATAAAATCATTTTGATTAAATGATTTTGATTTGTATGTTTTAATGGTTGCTTCCATTCAAAGTCTCCAGCACCAACTTTCTTAAACATTTGTCAAAATATGTTTTCATTAATCCGAAATATATTAACATGTCGGATAAACGCTGTGGGTATAAATGGTAAGTTTAAGTCTTTCACTAAATGGTGATTGGTTGATTGTTAATTTCCGAGTTGTTTTTTCGGGAATAGCCCCACAATATTCTTGTGTGTCTGTGGTGCTTTTATTGCAGTGATGTAATTTTCCCATGATTATCTAAAATTATAGTTACACTGTCATAATCATATTATTTTTCTGCAAATGTGCAAATGTACACATATTTCTTCTATTGTAAAGCCACTGGGAAAACCTTATATTTGGTAATTTTGCAGCAGTTTGCTGGTTTACAAAGACATAATACAGTTTGATTATTCTGATAACAGAACAAGACATTTTTAACACGTGCTGGCCGTTATGAACGACACATCACTTAAATGTGCGCAGTCTCATCATTCCAACTTGCCCAAAGTTAACCAATATCCGATTGAAGAATACATAAATACGCCTTTGTGAACGTGCTGTAGAGAAATAATTCATCACTCATTGATTCTTTCCAAATTGCCACCAATGATTAGTTTACTTCCATGTGCTCAAATGGCATTTCCATGTCTAATACGGAATATTAAGGCCTTTACTCTTTTTTTTTTCTCTTCATGACAAAAATGAAAAATAGTGCTGGATGCTTGACGCGTCTTTAGTCGGAAGTCTCCGGCGGTTGTTGTCCTCATGAGGAGAGATTTATACCTGTCATCAACACCAGTGAACGTAAACACACGAGGCCATTTCATTGTGCAGCCACTTCCCACAAGACAGCCGCTCATTGAGTTATGTGGCTCTACACAGGCTGCCAATACAGTCCAGTGTGTGTGCGTGTGTGTGTGTGTGTGTGTGTGTGTGTGTGTGTGTGTGTGTGTGTG